TGTGGGGGGGGGGGGGGGGTTTATTTGGTTATTTTGGGTTTTTCAATTTGAAAGTAGTTGAAACCAATTAAAATTCATACTAAATCATAATAATAAGACGTTTAAGCAATAGGTGAACTTTATAGTTTCTAATATCGTTGTGATAATACTAATAGGCTATAATCATAATAATATCTTCACAGGGGGAATACTGCAATTTTTTATATTATAGTTCTATGAATTTCAGACTACTTCTATTTTCTCACTTGGATATATATTTCAGATTGGGGGTGGGGGCTACTCAAATTAATCGGTAGATTTTTATATACTTAAGAAGGAAGACCACTGTTAAACTTCAGATCACTTTCACTTAAGAATGATAAAGGGATTTTATATCCTTATTCTATATATATATATATCGCAATATATTTTGAAAACTTATGAGAAAAGAAAGAATGTGTCAATTTTACTGCTGCAAACTCCCTAAAAATCAATTTTCAGAAAAATTTTAAAGTTGGTTTTTTGGGGTGGTTTTTTGGGGCCGGGATTTTTTATGCCAACCCTGTATTTTTATGTAATATATAATTTTTTCATTTTTTTCAACATAGTGACACAAGAATTTTACTGAAGATTAATGTTGTTAATTGATTGTCATGATTTGTTACTTATATTGACAAATTAATTCTTGCGGAATAAGGAGGCGATTTGAAATTCATTTCTGAACTAAACTTAGTATTATGTTTTAATCTAGTTTTTAAATATCTTAATCTGATAAAAATTTCAAAAAAAGGTATCGCTTAAATCAAAAATAATAAAATTACTTAAAGAATTATCTCTGTTAATGCAGAGGCTCATGTCATCCAGGGGTTCCCACCCTCGTTCAACTAATTACTTTATATAAATTTCTATCTCAGAGTGGTGCTCACAATTTTCTGTATGGTAAGGGGTGAAATATCATGTTTAATTCATATTGTAACTGTAGGATTCTATTCTAAACAAATAGGGTTCTGAGCTGGGAACTTTAAAACGGTGGATATCGAGATCAATGCTTGATCCTCTCTTTTTCTTAATCTTAAACTTGTATCCTGAAAAGTGTGTAAAATTCAACCAATTTTAAATTTTGCGGACCATTTAAGATTGATTTACCAAAAGGGGGGGACTCCCTAATTTTGAAATACCGGTTTTTGATTTTTCTGTACTAAATCTATAAAAGAGTGGATTAAGCAAGAAATTAAAAGTGTCCACATTGGATATTCGGATTAAGCAGTCGGAATTAAAAGCATGCCATTCTAAAGTTCCCAGCTCAGAGCTGGGAACTTTAGAATGGCATAGATATCGAGATCAATGCCTGCTACTCTCTTTTTTTTTAAATCCACGAAATGGAAAAATTTAACCTCTTTCTTCAACAATATGTAAAACTAGGAAATAGTAAAACTTATCCTTTTCCTTGATAAAGTTCAACCAATCAGAGTCGCGTATCAGAAGCCGGGAAATTTGAAATTTTGGGCGCCATTTAAGATTAATAAACAGAAACGGGCGGGGGGTTGTAAAACCGGTTTGTTGATTTTTCTGTACTACATCCATAAAAAGTGGATTAAGCAAGAAATTAAAAGTAATCACATTGGATATTCGGTTCTCAGTTACGGCCCTGTGTATACTTACTGTTAATGGAATATTACTAAGATGTGAATCATTTCCTCTAAATAGAATATTTTTAATTGAACGGATTTTTATTTTATTTAACATTTATTAATCCTAGATTAACAATATAAAATGTAATAATATCAATTTCCATGTAGAACTTTCATTTAATAGCATTCACAATGAATAATATTTACTTAATGAGATTCCACTTTAATATAGCGACATTAAAACATGTATTAGGAATATTTTCTCATTAAAACACTTAAAGATATATAAACACTATTAGAAACTTTGAAAATTTAAAGACTATGATTAGAAAAATAAAACTATTGGATAAAAAAGACGACTGTTAGTTCCACTTTTTAATTTTAGATTCGATGTTACCCACAAAGGATGAGACTTCAGAGACGACTTTACAGAATTTATACTGTATGTTTCCTTATATTCACGATTGCATGCAACTGTAAACTTGTTTCTCTCTTTTTCAAATAATTTAATAAGCCTTTAATAGATAGAACACTTAATATAACCTTGGGTTCCTTATATCTTAATAGTTTCTAGTAATTTTTTTAGTCTCATTCTTTGTGTGTAACCCCGTGGTAAAAGACCCACAATTATATCCATGTCTTACAGATAAGATCCATGTACTAAAATGATANATCAGTCTCACTGTACAATATTAAACATTAACTGGTTTGCATTTTTACGAGGGGGGGGGGAGACTAGCCGCACCCGCATAGCCTCCTTTCCGCAAGACTCAGAAACATAGATTCGCGGCACTGCGCTTACCCGTATCGCTTCCTTGCCGCACCCATATATCTTCCGGCAAAATGTCTCTACTTTTAAAAGGTTAAACAAATATTTCGTTCACACCTGTTGATGTTGATCTTCTCTAAAAATGTTTTTGAAGACAAGGATAAATTCAATCTTTACCAGAAGTAAGGCAGTTTTGCGTGCAATTCGGTTTTAAAATATCTTTCTATACAGCAATCTGATTTTAGATAATTTGAAACCAAACTATTTGTGTGAGCCAATTGTCAGATGGAGGCTTTACGTGTGCGGCTTGCCTCCCCCCTCTTTTTACACACATTATACAGTTGGATTAAGAGAGTGGTCCCTAAAAAAGTAATTAATTATGACACCCCTTTGTTTACTGTATGCACATCTCTATAAAACGTACTTATCATTCGTGTTAAAAATACTTTCTTAAGCCCACTAATACTCTTTTATTTGTTATTACTGATGTAGATAGATAAATATTTATTATATATTTTCTTCATATTGAATTATTTGAAAATAAAAAATCCCTTGTTATTTTTTGTATGTAGATATAAATACTATTATTTTATATATATGATACCACTGTTAGAAATGAGCTCTCTAAAAATACTTAAAATATTGCTGTCCAAATATCTACAATCTATCATAATCTCGTTTAACCCGATTTTATAAAAATATAGGATGAATTTACATTGCTAGTTTTCTTAATTTATTTTATTTTTTTCAGAGCCCTGGCCATTCTGCAAGCCAAGAACAAAACTATTCAAGCGGCTGATCCAAATTCTTTGCACAAGAGTAAAATCAAGAACAAGACCCCAGAAAGCCAGGACAAGATTAAGAAAAGATTGGCAAGCTCTCTGGACGGTAGCGACGAAAACGACCAGAACGAGACGAACAAGAAGCCGAGGTTGGCCGAGGTAGATAAGAACAAAACGGTCACAGTGTTCGGTAAAGAGATGACCGTGGCGGAACTTGAGAAGTTAAAATCCACAAGATCTAGGAACGAACACTTGGTGGCGGAGGCGGAACTAGCCGCGGCGGATAAATACTTTGATGTGATGGAAAAGAAGGATGATATGGAAGAGAAGATGCTGTCTACGTCGGAGATGAAAACTAAGGCTGTAACCTGTCATATTTGTAATTACACATCATTTAAGGTAGGGGAACAAATGGTAAAAAACGTAACAATTATTACACAAAATTACTTTGATACATTTATTTTTGTTGTTCAAGTATAACTCGTTCATTATTATGTTAAATTTTCTTTTGAATTCAAAGCTGGGATTGGTTTTGAAGCTTTCCTGTTGTAATATTGTTTTGAAACTTTGCTGTGTTGTATCAATTGATATTTACTGTTTGATATATTCAGGCTAGTGAATTGTGTAAGAGTGAAGGACATAGATACAAAGTTATCGATGCTGTCAAACGGTTCTTCAGATGCAAGGACTGTAAGAATAGAACAATCTGTCTTACTAAACTACCTCAGGTAAAGATGATATTTATAGATGATATATTGATATATTCATTTAGGGTGGAGAGGGGGGTTTTCGTGGGTTTTTATTAGTTTTACCGATTGAAATAAGAGGGGGGGATTCTATTGAGTAGCACTTTTAGCAGTCAAATTCAAATAAAATGTCTAGCCCTTCGATTCGCAAGGGTACACTTTTAAGCTTTGGCTGATCAAATATGAATAAGCTATCTTATGTGTCTCTATGTTTCACTTTAAAAGTGACTTACAGATTTCTGATTACTAAAACAATGGAGTTATGTTTCAACCTTTAAAAAGAAATAGTTTGTTTCTTCTACATTATTCATCAGATAAAGGATTTAAGGGTATCGTTTTAAATCAGATATGCCCATTTGTAAATGGATAGTCTTTTGATTTTACTACTAAAGTCCCTTTAACCACATGGCTAACAGCGAGTCATAACAATTTTTAGAACCGCTGTGTCAAAAAAAGACGTAAAATGATTAATAAAAATAATTAAATTATAACGAATTCAATGATTTGTTAGTAATTTAAAGGTCGAATCAAATGTTTTGTTAAAACTACGTGGGCAGAGTGAAATAAAATACATAAATTGTTTTTATTTTATTCTTTGATATTTTATTTGAGCTCCATCAAATATTCTCTAGGAGAGCTGTAAAATTAAAATATTTGTCTAGGAGAGCTGTAAAATTAAAATATTTGTCTAGGAGAGCTGTAAAATTAAAATATTTGTTTAGGAAAGCTGTAAAATGAATCATTTGTCTAAGAAAGCTGTAAAATTAAAATATTTGTCTAAGATAGCTGTAAAATGAAAATATTTGTCTAGGATAGCTGTAAAACAAAATCATTTGTCTAAGATAGCTGTAAAATGAAAATATTTGTCTAGGATAGCTGTAAAATGGTCTAAGAGAGCTGTAGAATTAAAATATTTGTCTAGGAGAGTTGTAAAATGAAAATATTTGTCTAGGAGAGCTGTAAAATGAAAATATTTGTCTATGAGAGCTGTAAAATTAAAATATTTGTCTAGGAGAGCTGTAAAATAAAAAATGTCTGTCTAGGAGAGCTGTTAAATGAAAACATTTGTCTTGAGAGCTGCAAACTGAAAATATTTGTCTAGGAGAGCTGTAAGAAGTGTGGAGGTAGTAGCTGGCTGAAGGCTGGGATGATTGCTGAAAGATCTGGACCTAAGCTTGGAGCTGAAACCTTGTCTATCCGAGGAGCAGAGGAGAAATGGATCGGAGGAGCAACTGCTGCAAATATTAATCTTTAGCAAATTATTTTATAGTTTGGATCAATGTGTGTAGAATTAAAGTTGGGTCCAGGTGGGATCGTCTTTACTTGTGTTATTAATTTTGCATCTAAGTCGTGCTACCATAGATTCACCCTGAGCAATAATAAATAGCTACGACCAATGATAAAACGATTAAGAAACTGGACAAATGTGACACAAGACCTGCCTTTATTTGCTGTTGAGCTAACGATTTTTCTTAGTAAAATAACTGATTCTGCGTCACAGTTTAATGTTTATACAACCACTATACACACAATCCTAGTTTTCTCACCTTGCTTTGGATGATGTACTATGTCTTGAATATATTTTCATAATACGAGAACTATATTGCCATTATGTCCGGACTATGTTTTTTTATTCTGTATAGACTATAGTTATGTTTCTCCGATGTTTTGAGACTGTTCAGAAGTTGCAAAAAGATACTCTTGATAAGATGGAGGGTGAAACTAAAGAAGTAGCAGAAAGTCTCGTCGGCTTACCTCAATTAGCACCTGTTGATATCTTGTGTATATTTCAGGTAGGCAGACACATCATAGTTTATAAAGATCCACAGATCTTACAGTAGGTAGGGAACAGATAGAATTCCAAACACTAGGTATAACTGGTGCATACAAACGTGTAATGAAAAAGTGTTTATGAAACAAAAATACATTATTAAATTTTTGTTTGTTTTTAAATTGGCATTTGTCATTTAAAAAAGTCAGCAATAATATAAAACCTTTCTTTCTGATTTTTTAAGTGGAATTCCAAACTATAATAATCCCAACGAATGTCAACCAATGTTGGGATTGGAAGATTGGGATTAGGATGAGTACTAGAAGGTAGGTTAGATAGGGACCAATTGGGAGTAGATAAAATAGGTTGGGAATTGGAGTGGTTATCATCAAAAGAGGAAGTTGGGATTGGGATTCATTGAATGCTAGGATCATAAAAAGGATTGGTAAATTGGGAGTTGGAGTATTTGGGAAGATTGAGTACTGAAAAGATGGTTGTTTGGGGACAGGGGCGGATACTCATCCTAATTTACTTGTTTCTCCTCTCATTCTCATCCTAATTTACTTGTTTCTCCTCTCTTTCTCATCCAAATTTACTTGTTTCTCCTCTCATTATCATCCTAATCTACTTGTGTATAAATATATATATGTATGAGGGTAATTTTTTTCAGATTGATTTAAAAGCAATGTAAGGACTCTGCTCCTGCTGAAGATGTTTAAATCCTCACACATGAACACAAAGGACATAAAATGAAAAATTGAAGAAGAAAAACTGGATTTGATGTGTGTTTTCTCAAGAATGGTTTTATTTTTCTTAAATGTTCGGTTTGAGAGAGACCTAAAGAGAAAGGATTAATACATACATAAGCCCGAAAAAAAAGACTTAAACAAGACTTTTTATGATCGTTCCTTAAAACTATAAATTATAATCAGTAAAAAAAGTACAAGTTAGTAAAATCTAGTGAACTGATTTGTTAAAAATAATCTCAGCTTAAGTGGAAAAGCAAACCAGAAATTGATTTTATTCTCGCATTACTCTCATAAATCCCTGTGCTGATTAGATTAGAACTCTTAGAACAATTATGAAACATTTCAAAATAAACAATCCGCTTTACTTCAGAATTATATTTAGAGTAATTTAGAGAAGAAGTAATTAGTTGAAAGCTCAAAATGATTTTAAATGTTTGTGCCCGGAGATATGAAGCATTTTACAAAATTCCTCAGTTTAAAATCTGTATACAGTGAAACCCTTAATAACGAATACATCGGAAGAATTTATCAAATGTCGTCTTGGCAATTTTTCAATGAGTTTTATACGATATTACGTAAATTTCAGTATTAGCGATAATAAATAAACATCCATAAATATAATCATTTAATTAAAAAACTAAATATCTGCAACATTCCATTCTCAGAAAGTGAAGAATACGACATTTGATGAACTCTTTCGATGTATTCGTTCTTTCGATGTATTCGTTATTAAGGGTTTCACTGTATAAATTTGGCTTGTCTGTTTGGGTGTCTGTTTTTTTGTTTGTATAAAATAAACGGCTGAACCGATCGGGCCCAAATTTTTTGTGGGACATCACGTGACCACAGGGAAGGTTTATGAATGATAAAAATTTTAAAAAATGTATTTTAAAAGGTTTTTAATTTTGTAAAAAAATGTTAATTCTTGAAAATCCACAAAAGAATTTTCTTCTTTGCTTTAAAATGTAAACAAAAAGAACATGTTCACAATTTAAATAGAAAATGGGCGTGAAGCGCCCTAAAAGCCTAGTACTGTAATATTATACTGATAAATTTAAATATATGTTGTGTTACATATTTTACGTTATTACTATTTTTACTATTATTACTTTTACTGTTAAAATTGCTAATTTTTAAAACATCTACTATTTACCGTAATGAGTTGTCAAGGGCGGTGCCTTGATATAGGTTTCCCCGGCATTCATGATATTTGATCATTATAAAATACGTAACCAATTTAGGGTTATCTTTGATTCAATTTTGAACTATTCAGAAATTGTTTTTATTTTCTCATTAACAATTAAATGACATGTTTTTTATTTTGTTATTTCTCACATATTCTAATTTCTAGTATGATAATACTATGGATTGTTTATCCTAAATTTAAAGTTTATGATCCTCTGCTGGCATAAACAATTTTATAAACCTCTAAAGAGAAAAACATTAAAATCTTAATAAGACCTTCATTTGTTAATATTAAAAGATTAATAATACATGAAGATTAAATAGTTGTGTAAGTTTATATGGAAACTAATATTAAAAAAGTATAAAAGCTTAACAAATATTATATTTTGTAACAAAATAAGAGTGTTAAAAATTTTAGAGCAATATTTAAAAATCAGATTATTTTCCCAATACCTGAGGGTTAAGATTGATACAGGGATCAGTAACATTTTGTAAATTACATTTTCGTATAGTAACATTTTGTACAGATAACATTTGTTTACATGGAAAACTCGAAAAGGGTTTAAATTACTGACTAAAGTCTAAAAAAAAGATTTATGACTTGTCACACATTGAAGTTTATTAAGATACAGGGTGTCCCACGAAACATGAGAGTTGGTAAATAGTTTAAAATGTCTTCTTCCATAATTTCTTAAGCTGTTTGATATAAGAAAATAACAAAAAATATTATTTGGCAGTCATATAGTTGTAAACATGATTTTAGATTAAAATGTATTTGAGTAAAAGATTTTTTTAACAAAGTAAACTGCAAAAAGTCTTTATAAATTAATACAGTATATGGAAGAAGACATTTAAAACTATTCACAAACTGTCATGTTTCGTGGGACACCCTGTAGATATTTTGCTTGGTTTGCCTTTTTTTCTTAAGTTCTTTTAAGAAGCTATTTGCATAAAAATAAAAAATAAACTGTTGGTATGATGTAGAGATTTGAGATAAACTATAAATAAATGTATAACTAAAAATATTGAATCACAAATAGCGAATACTTATTTTTAACACAGGAAGTAAAGGAAGTAAATCAAGAAAAGCTCAAGCACGAAAATCTTCAGTTTCCCAAAACTAAAGTTCAAAAAACTAATCTCTCCTGCAAGCTTGAGGATGAGTACAACATGAGTAGCATCTCCTAAACCCAGCCATATAATTTCAATTTTGGCCATGTTACCTTTTTGCTTTCCGATGGTTCATTATAATCGTTTAAAGTTGGTAAAAGAAGTGAAAAGAATATGAGCTTATTAAATAAAAAATTAAACTCTTTAATTTCACAAGATAGAAATAAAAATTCCTAACAATTCATTTCAGAGAGCACTCAATTTTTCTTAATTTAAAGAAAAAAGAAATCGTTACACATAATATTGGAAACAAAATTCAGATGTTAAGCCTATCATCTCCGTTTATTCCATCTTTCTTTCATTCTTCGTTTCCTTTTCATTTTTTTTTCATTTTTTTTCATTTTTTCTTTTGTTTCAGATAGTGTGCCCCCTCTTTGCACCCCCTAAGGGATAAAATGGAGGGGTACATGCCCCTTTTGCCCCCCCTGCTACCTGTATACAATAAACAGGCTAACAAATTTTGAAAACTTTGAATGCTAACATCTCATCATTTTTTCAAGAGGATTATACAAAACAACTTATCTAAAAAAAGGAGGAGAATGCAAATTCATTGCACTCTCCTTTTTGGGGAAAGGGGGGTGCACCTCCCCTGATTGCGGGTCTGGCGGTCTGGAAACTTTCAATCATTTTTCATCGTTTATCTCCATTTTTGCCCCCTGAATTCAGAACTTAATGAACTTTGTTTAAAAGATCATTAGTTCACTCGACTAGTATTTCAGTTGATACGACACCATGAAAAGCAAATTCTTTTCAAAGACGACATTAGTATTATCCTTGAATCTATTATGTAAGCTTGTAACGGGGCATTTCGCTTGCAGACATATTGAAACAGCTGAGCTTATGAAATGTCTTAAAATGCCAAAAGAGAACTTTCGTAAAATTATCCCGTTCACAACAATTACATGAGTTCTGTTATAGCTTTCTTTTGAAAATTACATTTTGATAACGACAGGTTTGGGACTAGATTAGTTTCAAATTTTGTCTGAACGGATCTTACGGAATTTGAAAGTGTAATGCCGATAATTTATTGATTCACCTATGCCTAACCTCTTAATTATTCAACATCAATTTAAAACAAACACTTAATCAATACGGATTTCTCACATCAAAATTCAATTTAGTTTTGTAAATATTTTTTATATTTTTTTTATGATTACGTTTCTACAGACATAATGCAGTCTGTTGTACGAGCAGCAAGTATCGGTCAGCTGTCTAGAGCTACTGCTGTAGCTGTTCCCAGCAATGTTGCTGGAGTAGCTGCTCCAGTCCCAGCAGCTGCAGCTCCTGTTTTAGTCCAACCAGCAGGTACTGCTTCTTAGATCTATATTGGGATAATTTCCTAGAGAACAATTTTGGACCCCCTCCCCTCTTATTAATTTTGTACATGGTATATCTTATGTAACACATGGATATAATTGGTCATGTGGCCGTAGCGCCCGGCCCCCTAGTCTGTTCGAGTCGCTGCGCTCGGCCTTGAAATTGTCTTAAAATAACCTAACCCTAATCTCTAGGACGGACCCCTATATAGGTTCTAAAGGTTTGAGGACTAAAGTGGAAGTTGTTTGTTTTAGGACGGGGCGTTTTGTTTTGGCGCACTGAATTAGTTAACGAAAGATATGTTAAGGAAAGTTTTCTAGATTTATGGACCGCCCCCCCCCCTCCCTCTTCATCAAAAAGTAAATGAAATGTTAATCATCTGGCCGCAGCGCTCGGCTCAAAGCCTGTCCAAGCCGCGGCGATCGTCCCATTATCCTGTTCTTTAGCCTCAGCGCACGGCACAGAAAGTGTCTGAATCTAATCCTGAAATAATATAAATTTTATGTACAGTTTGTGATGATGAGGGGAGGAGGTAAAAAAATCGGTTATTTCCTGGAGAACAATTTATTCCCCCCCCCCCCCCTTCTAACAATTTTTGTACATTCATCTTGGATTAAGATGGTCATGTGGCCGCAGCGCGACATGACCCTAACCTGACCATAAATATATACCAATTTTTTTGAAAATTGTTGAAAATGAAGGCCTGTCTTGGCCGCAGCGTTCGGCCCCCTAGCCTGTCCTAGCCGCAGCGCTCGGCCCAGAAATTGTCCTTACCTAACCCTGAAATAATACATAATACATTTTTTGTGTGTTTAAAAGATTAAGTTGAAAACTAGGTCATGTACAAAATTGATAGGAGATGGTCCAAAAATCCTTCTCTAGGACAGACCCCTAAAATCATTCTCCAGGACTGAGCCTTGCTCTGTCTGAGACGTATTCTGAAATATTTGCTTATAATTATTTTAAACTAAATAAGGATTTTCCAAGGAAACTAACTTAAATTAAATGGGAGATATGAAGGCGAGCCTACAATAGAAATTCCTACAGTTGATACTTCATTTTAATTTTATTTGTCTCTAAGAAAGGAGAATGGAGGGGGGGGGGTTTGATTGATGTGTTTCAGCGAATATTTAGGAGTTTACCTGTGTTATTTCAGCAATCCCGTTAACCAGCTTCTCCATGGGTAAACTCCTAACTGGGAGAGAGGGACAGCTCAGGGTATCTTCAGGAATAGGGGGTAGGAGTTTTATCTTATAGCAATCGGAGAGGAGGGGATTTGACGAGCAATGTTTATAAAAAAGATAAGCAAAAGATGTGACTTCTTACGATATTTTGGAATTTTAAAGTTGTAGCACTCTGCAGCTAGTTACTACAGTTAGAATTTCTTTCTGTAGTACATAGCTTAAAACACCAAACACACCTTCTTGTCCAATTCCATATCTCTTAAAAATATTTTTTTTACCTCTAATTTTGTTTCTTAGTAATCACCCCACTCCCCTTTTGCCTCATTTCATTTAATTGTAGCTATTTTTGTATGAAAAAGAAATCACTTTAGTATCTAGATATAAAAATCAAAACAAAAATGAATGAAAGCTTTGGTTTTGATGAACATTAATTGATTATTTAGTTGGTCTATTTTCTAATTGGGTTCTTTGGTAGCCTATTATGCCGATTAACCTAGAAAGATCTAGCATGTCTCTGGAAAAATTATTTAATTAAAAAGATCGGACTAAAAACCTGGAATATGGGAGGGAATTGAAACTCCACCTAATAGGAAGGGATGCCTCGAGCAATCCCTGCAGAGAATGATTTGATTTGATTTTGAAATAATTTTAGTTGGAACCCAGATCCGAAGCTACCATGCTGGAAATGTTGAGGTTCCTGATTTCTCCTACTACAGGTTCGTTTAAAACTTTTAAAGGGAGTGTTATTTATTTATAACTGATAATTAAACAAAAGCAAATAAAGTAAGAAACAGACTGAAAAAAAACTTTCTCGTGAAACATTTCCTCTTAACGCATAATGTATAATTACTCATTGATAATTTCTTTTCAAATTGAAATAACCCCTCCCTGGCCCCATGAATAAACTTCAATTGGGAAACTTTTTATTGTTTAGACGATCTGCCACCAAGGACCCCACCAGCAACAACAAGGCGACCTCTGAGAGTAGACAAGGGTTCAGTTACGTGATGGCCGGAGGACTTGGAGTTCTCGGAGCTTACTCCGCTAAATCCATCGTAAACCAGTTCGTTTCATCCTGGTCTGCATCTCAGGTCAGAATTCAATAAAAAATAAAATAGTATTTACATTAGAAATCCTGCCCCCCTCTCTTTGACATTTTTTAAAGTTTCCTTATTTTATAAATGATTATAGGGGCCGGGAAATACGTACATTTTTGGAGAAAAGTATCATAAATTCCCCCCCCCCCCAATTCAAGAAAAATCATATCTCCCTATTATCGAAGAAGAGATAGGGGAGAGGGTCCGGGGGGGGGGGGTTATTCTTAAAATTATAAGATGATTTTATTAGAAGAAGTATTTTGTTGAAAAGTATTCTGGAAATTTTATAAACATTTTTTATTCTTGAAAAAATAAATTGTTGGTAAGAAGTATGATGAATTGGGAGAGGACGCGCTAGTTCCTTTCCCCTCCCCTCCTCAAGGGGGGGGGGGTAATTCCTTAAAATATCTCCTTTTGAAAATCCAATAACATCATCATTGAAAAATGAATATGCGTGCAGGATGTTTTAGCGCTTGCAAAGATCGAGATCAAGCTGGCGGATATTCCTGAGGGTAAGAACATGACCTTCAAGTGGAGAGGGAAACCCCTGTTCATCCGACACAGGGGAGCAGAAGAGATTGCTCAGGTAACCCTCGTGGAAAATATAAAAATTTTATTTCAAATAAATCCGATTTTTATTTCTGGTAAATTTCGAAATCTTTTCATGTATTTGGATCCGGATCCTTACAGATCGATATTGAAATTATGCTTTCTAGGTCCGAGCTGTTGATCCCGCTACCCTGAGGGACCCTCAGTCTGATGAGGAGAGAGTAAAGGATGCTGAATGGCTGGTCATCCTCGGTAACTAAAATATTTTCTTAATAAAAATTTTTAAAAAACAGATATTTTGGAATTCGTAATAAGTAGATAACTGCGCAGAGAATTTAACTTCTTCTAAACGTCAACTTTATGAAGTGTTTGAAAATACAAAAATAAATGAACTAAATTTAGATTTTTGAATTCAAATTTTCAACTCTTACCATCTTTTTTACTGCAAGGTTTTTCTTCAGAGTTCAGAACTGTTGTATTGTAATTCATCAATTAAAGAACTTCCCGGATTAAGTGTCTCGGATATCCCTCAAGGTTATTGGTATCGCACGGATTAAAAGCACTTAGTTACCAATATTGATATCAAGCTCAGTGATCGTAGATTAGTGCTATTGGATTCAAAAGTTCCGACCTGACATTATAATTATGTCACTTAAAATAATCTCGAAAATAGTAAGAAAAATATTCAAGATGTTGCTCGAAACATTGACATGAATATATATATGCAGGTGTATGCACCCATCTTGGCTGTGTTCCTATTGCCAATGCTGGTGAGTTTGGTGGTTATTACTGCCCCTGCCACGGATCCCATTACGATGCTTCTGGAAGGATTAGGAAGGGACCTGCTCCCCTTAATCTAGAGGTAGGATTCCTCCTCCAGGGCATTTTTACTTTTAAATATCTAGATTCTAGATATATAATATCTATTTTAAGTATTTTTTTTCGTTTCTTTTCATTTTCATTCTCAAGTCACTTTTGTCGAGAAACTCTTCTGAAAATTATCATATTTCTAAAAGAGAAACGTGGAAAGCTTATTCATTCTTGATGAGGCAAAGCTTTAGAGAGTGCCGTTGTAAATCAGACATTCCTCTCTTCACTTGGAATTACGTTTAAAGTCTCTTTAACTTAGTTCTTGTTTTATGCTGACAAACAAACTTATTTTGAACAGAAAATATCAGTATTTGCATATTTATTATGAAGGAAACTTAAAATGTTAGAAATTTAGCCCCTGGAGATAAAATTGAAAACTGGTTTATTTGGTTTATTATATTTTTGTTCAGGTTCCCGAGCACGAGTTCATGGAAGACGGTATCCTTGTTGTTGGTTAAACTCTGCTCCTTCCTCATAGTTAACTTTGTACTGATTTATCAATTGATCGCTCAAGCTTGATCAATCGACTAATCAAAACTATTTAATGCTATCAGATATCACTTACATTCAAATATACCTTGAACAATTAGATTATGTGTTGGACATTTCAGATGAACATGTTGTTTATTAGAACCTGCTCAGCAGGCTACAGCACGCTGGTCAGATCGGTTCAGTGTAGATCAATAGTCAGGGAACCATGATAACGATTTTGTAAATTGAAATTGAATTTTGCGTTCAAGTGTATATTGTAAACCAGAATAAACTAAAGAACTGAAATGCAGTTCACAGTTTCTCCAAAGGGCCACAAAACTTTTATAAATTATTTTATAAATAGTGGAAACAATTACAAAAGAAAATACCCCTTCTTGTGAAGTTATGTATGTCGCCTTATGACCGTAAAGTCGCCGGTTTATTATCAACTTCTTAAAATAAAGGATATTCGGCATTGAAATAACTTTTTTACATTTATGCGCGCGGGATAATGACATATTTTTAGAAGTGAAAAAAAAATAAAATGAATTTTTTCAAATCTGTCGAACTCTTAGTTAAAGTTGATGTCTTACTTCTTTTGTAACTTTTCAGACTATTGGAAGTATTGGTGGATCCATATAAACGTAACACTGAATATATTTATTTTTAAATTTGTTCATTTATAAAATTCTTTACTAATGAATAGTTAAGCTTCAAGACACTGTAGTCATTCAAATTGTCATTTATTTTAAAAGGGGTATTTTCGATTTACCAGGGTATGTCCTGAAAACCATTATCTCACTTATAATGTAGTAAATACAGTCGTTTTTCTAGCTTAATAAGGGTTTAATTCTGATAATTTCCTACATTGTTTGTGAACTAGAAAAAACGTCAGGCACTTTAAAGAAAACCACAATGGAGAGATGATATTATCTCCTACATTTTTTATCAAAGAAAGCTCTTAGAGATACTTTTAGACATGACACTTTTGATGGAGGATCAAATAAAGCTATAGATACCTTTGAATTAGACATGACACAATTGATGGAGGATTAAATAAAGCTATAGAAACCTTTGAATTAGACATGCCATTGTTGATGGAGGATCAAATAAAGCTATAGATACCTTTGAATTAGACATGACACAATTGATGGAGGATCAAATAAAGCTATATATACCTTTGAATTAGACATGACACAATTGATGGAGGATCAAATAAAGCATAGATACCTTTGAATTATGCATGATACTATTGATGAGGATCAAATACAGCTATAGATACCTTTAAATTATATATGACACTATTGTTGAGGGTCAAATAAAGCTATAGATACCTTTGAATTAGACATGACACTGTTGATGGAGGATCAAATAAAGCCATAGATACCTTTGAATTAGACATGACACTATTGATGGAGGATCAAATAAAGCTATAGATACCTTTGAATTAGACATGACACTGTTGATGGAGGATCAAATAAAGCTATAGAAACCTTTGAATTCGACATGACACTATTGTTGGAGAATCAAATGAAGCTATAGATACCTTTGAATTAGACATGACACTGTTGATGGAGGACCAAATAAAGCTATAGATACCTTTGAATTAGACATGACACTGTTGATGGAGGACCAAATAAAGCTATAGATACCTTTGAATTAGACATGATAATATTGAAGGAGGATCAAATAAAGCTATAGATACCTTTGAATTATACATGACACTATTGATGGAGGATCAAATAAAGCTAAGATACCTTTATATTATACATGACACTATTGTTGGAGGACCAAATAAAGCTATAGATACCTTTAAATTATACATGACACTATTGTTGGAGGATCAAATAAAGCTAAGAAACCTTTAAATTATACATGACACTATTGTTGGAGGATCAAATAAAGCTAAGATACCTTTATATTATACATGACACTATTGTTGGAAGATCAAATGAAGCTATAGATACCTTTAAATTATATATGACACTGTTGTTGAGAGTCAAATAAAGCTAAGATACCTTTAAATTATATACGACACTTTTGTTGAGGGTCAAATAAAGCTAAGATACCTTTGAATTAGACATGACAATATTGATGGAGGATCAAATGAAGCTAAGATACCTTTGAATTAGACATGACAATATTGATGGAGGATCAATTAAAATAGCGTCTACATGATGCACATTACAACTTAAAAAAAAAAATTTTATTGGTTTTCCGTAGAGCTGTGAAGGATGGATTGGGAGCAAGAAAAAAACGGATTTTAATTCGAGTATTTAAAACCACATCTGTTTTCAGGAACACATGACAATTCTAATCTTTGGTTTACTTATTCATGAACAGTGACGAATTACAAGTCTAAAAGATGTCCCAATACATTTGGGAAATAATTGATCAACCACGTCATTTTTCTTTAATAACTTTGTTAAACTGATAATATTAACAAAAGCATTTAGTATCTAAGACCTTTAGTCTTGGGATTTTTCAAATTAAAATATTTTTCAGATTTTCATTAATTAGTTAATATTATCCAAATAATTTATCTAAATATGATTTTCGACAATGTTTGACACAATTTTCACGCGCATAACTTTTTTTATACTTACTTTCTGGATACATTTATTGTCATTAAATAGCTTTAAAAAATGACCAATTGCAGTTGTTTCTGAATTCTCATCTTTATAAGGAAACCTTGTTGTAAAGGATGAACGTTTAATTGGATGTGTGTTTATCTAATTTACTTCTTAGGGTTTTTAACATTATGTTTGTGCATGAATATACCTTCAAAATCCTTTAAATTTCACCAATAAGACCCATAATATCAGTTTTAAGGGACTGAAAAGGAAAAATGAAAGGGGGTTTAGGCTGAAATCTAAGCATTTTAATTGCAGAAGATGAAGAGGTATTGAAGTTTTTTTTTATGTGATTTGTTTACATTTTTTCAAATTGATTTTGATGGTAACTTTTAACTTTTTTACTCTATTAGATTAAGATCACCAAACTTTTTTTTCGCTAATACTCTTACTCTGATCCCATATAAAAGCCAAGCGGTGTAACCAGGATGTAATTTAGAGGGACTGTAAATGAAAAATAAAACCTAAGCATTTTAGAAGTTGATCGAGACACATGATAGTTTATCTGATGTTCCTGTCTCAAGAAATTGAAATAAAACTGTTAAATTTATACGGAAAGGTATATATATATAACATTTTGTATAAGAATACTGGGTTTAATTGGATTTTATTCAGCAAATACGCAACCAATCTGAAAACGACGATATCCCAAAGGAGCCTAAGAAACTTAGGTTTGCTTCTATTATTATTTGAATTTAATAATTTTTCATTTATAAAAGATATAATTGATCATATTATTTATCCGTCCGTATCACGTAACCAGAACTCCCACCAATGGCAGTGCAGTATACTGGTCACGTGATACAGACGGAGTCACGTAATAAAAATATATTTAAAATGCTTTTATGATAGCAACTGTTTTTTATAATATAAAGAAATATCAAAGTAAAATATCGCAGATTTCTCTGTTTTCTTCAATGAATTTTATAAAAACTTGTTAACAACAAATTTTCTATTTTGATCAGACATACACTTCCCCTGGGGTTACTTAAGTTAGCACAAAAAAACCTTAAGTCGGATAGGTTTAGCAGTTTTTTCGTTTATTGGATACAAACCATACAGACAGATACAGGCTAAATATAGATAATTAAAGATCACTTAAAATTTTTTTTTTCTAAACTCGGTTTTGCCATTGCTACCCATTTTACAGCTTACATTTTTTTTTGGAGGGCAGGGAAGGGTACGGGTTGGTTTTATGTCTGGTTTGAGTTTCCTGACCCTGAATAGAACCTGGTAGTACTATTGAAATCTCTTATGACCTCCTCCCTTGTCCTTCTCCGGGGGATCTTCATACTCATCATCTTCTCTCCAACCCTCCTCCTCTCCCCGCTTATACTCACACAAAGTAAGCAATAATATTATATTGAAAGATAACACGGTTCGACTTTATATGAATCCCACAAAGAAGGGGAAAGTTAACAATTTATTCTAACAGTATTGTAGTTTTATGTACTTCTTTCCTTATGTTTTGGTTTTTGGTTTCTTACGGTGTCAACAAATGATACTTTTATTTAACTAAGATTAAATGTATTTTTATAGATTTGCGACAAAACCAATTCTTAAATATAGTAAGTTAGCAAATACAATTATGGAAAGTAGATTTGGAAGTAAGCTGTGCTGCTCTATGCAAATGCCAACAATAGTTTGATATTCTATCGGCCTTCTCGTTCATGTTCAATTAATTTTTTTCAATGGCTTGATTTATCATGATATGCTGAGTGCTGACCTAAACAATAAACAATATCAATCTTCCGGTATAATCTTTTAACTTGAATTAAAAAAGAGACATGATTTTTTTTTTTTTTCTCAAAATCTTAAGATATTTATAGCTTTAGAACAGATTAGAAAGCTATTAACTTAGATCTTGATAATTCAGGAGGCCAGAACACCTGGTTGGACCTATTCACATTTTCCTGTGAGTTGGCTGGTCCTGTTTATATCAAACTCTGCCAGTGGGCCAGCACTAGGAGAGATATTTTCCCAGATACGGTAGATTAAAAAAAATCACCATTTTGTATTTTTCAGTTTTCACGCTATTTTTATTCTCAAGATTTCCGCAATTTATTTTTTCAAGTTTTTATCGTTTTTTATATTCTCATGTTTACTCGCATTTTTGAAATACCTTAAAAAAGTTTATTTTCTTAATTTCAATTTATCTCTTTAAGGTTTGCCGTAAGCTGAGTAAGTTACAAAGAAACACAAGCCCCCACTCCTGGGAACACACTTTTAATCTTCTCCAGGTAAAAATTATTTGATAACATTTTTTACATTAATCAATGTCACTCCTGAATTATAATTGACTGACCGACCGACTGATTGATTGATTGATTGATTGACCTCTGTTCAGCGTTGTTATGATGGAAGATATGAGAAAGTATTCTCCAGGTTAGACAGAGAACCAGTTGGGTCAGGATGCTGTGCTCAGGTTTTAATTACTTTCCACTTCTATTTTCTATATTTTGTAATTTTCTTTAAATTCTATTTTTTTCCAATTCAACTGACAAGGAATCATGTTTGTTGTTTATTTTTGTCCCTTTAATCTCTTTATATCCGGTTCTGTATTACTTGAAGGGACTCCTTTAATCTCTTTATATCCGGTTCTGTATTACTTTTTAATCTCTTTATATCCGGTTCTGTATTACTTTAAGGGACTCCTTTAATCTTTTTATATCCGGTTCTGTATTACTTGAAGGGACTCTTTTAATCTCTTTATATCCGGTTCTGTATTACTTGAAGGGACTCCTTTAATCTCTTTATATCCGGTTATGTATTACTTGAAGTGACTCCTTTAATCTCTTTATATCCGGTTCTGTATTACTTGAAGTGACTCCTTTAATCTCTTTATATCCGGTTCTGTATTACTTAAAGGGACTCCTTTAATCTCTTCATATCCGGTTCTGTATTACTTGAAGGGACTCTTTTAATCTCTTTATATCCGGTTCTGTATTACTTGGGACTCTTTTAATCTCTTTATATCCGGTTCTGTATTACTTGATAGGGACTCAAGGCGTAATTTTCAGTGGCTCTCCATCTGAGAGGCGTGTCCGGTTGACAATGTTTAAGATTTATTTAAAGGCTGTTTTATATTTTAGAAATATTAATATTAAACAAAAAAAAATTTGCGTATCGTTTTGGCCTATAATATTTTGTATTTTGAGGTATACAATATACATCCCACGCCATCTGTGTTGAGTTCACACATTGCCATCTTTATAGGGAGGGTAACTTGAAACATTACGCTCACAGTCCCTTTAAAAAGATATAAACCTGGAAAATAAAAATATGTAAATTATGTAGTTAGGAAGTTGAAAAATGGGATACTTTCATTTTTTTTTAATTTTAAAAATGTCCGTTACTATCTACCCCTGGTCTACAGCCCTGTATTAAATGATGTTAAGGTGTATCGAGGTTGTGTTGTAGAGAATGGTGTTGAGGTTGAGGTAGCAGTTAAAGTGGTTCATCCTGGTCTCCGGGATCTCCTTAATAAGGTAAAAATACATAGAAAATTATTATCTTTTATTTCTTGGTCATCGCTATAGTTCAAGAGCGCATTAATAAACAACTCCAAGTTGGTGACACGTGTAGTTGTTGAAATGATTAATCAATCAACAGTACAAACGATTGACAGTTCAAATGATCATTAATTCTAAAGATTATAAGCTCATATGATCAACATTTCAAATGATCAATAGTTCAAATGATGGACAGTTCAAATAATCATTAGTTTAAAAGATCAATAGTTCAAAGCATCAATAGTTAAAAGAGTGATAGTTCAATCGATCAATAGCTCAAACAGAAGTAGTTCAAATAGGATAGCATCAGGTCTGTTAGGTATTTCATCTCCATATGCTCCAAAATCAGTCTACCGGGAGAGGGGTATAATATAATGTTTAGGACCTGGCTGTGATGAAGTATATGAGTAGATGTATTACCTGGATATTCCCCAGTTTGACCTGGCTGAGTTTAGAGACCGGGGTAGAGGAGTTCGGTCAACTTATGACAGGACAGGTATTAATCACACACAAGCTACAACATGCATTAACATCATCATGAATCTTTCTGCTAAAAATTCATTTAGTTTCCTTGTTCAACGATAAAATTACGTTCCTAAGTGGATTTTTACAATTGAGAAAATGATTTTGACCGGTGCCGTGACAAACTCCTGAAAGACAAACTCCTGAAAGACAAACTCCAGGAGTTTGTCTTTCCGGAGTTTGTCTTTCAGGAGTTTGTCTTTCAGGAGTTTGTCACGGCGCCATTTTGAACGATATAAATTGCATCATTTTTTCTTAAGCGGGAGGAACTAGATTTTTTTCTTATTTAGCTCAATTTCAGGTTGACTTAGAAAAAGAAGGCGATCATTTAGAAGTATTTAGAAAACATTTTTCAAAAAACCAAAGGTAAATTTTCAATTAAACATTTGAATTAAACAATTGAATGTTTTTTGAAATTAGAGATATTTAATTTGTTGACAGTTAAGAGTTGTATTAAGGATGATTCTGATACATATGGAATCTAGTTATCTAGCATCATGGATATAACTGTCGAAGCTCATTAAAAAATTTAAAAAAGATATATTAACGCTGTCGTAGAATGTTTCACTGATAATCAATTTAAAAATATTTTTTTTTCAGTTTTCAATTTTGATGCAAAATTTCAATCATAGCTTGAAGAAAATATAATTTTAGAACATAGGTGTATAATTTTAAGAACCCCCCCCCCCCCCGCCTCTGCATTATTTTCCTCAATTCAGCGAGAGAGAAACATTTAAAAAATTATTTTTCCGCTCTGCATAATTATCTCTAAGGTCTGGGAAAACATGGCTTTTCAAGAAAATATACACCCCTGTTTTAGAATCCGGTTTCCACGACCTCTTCGTCATCTCAGCAATACTGAGATACTGGTGGAGACCTGGGCAGACGGAGACTCAATAGATTCATATATCAGGTACCAGAGCTCGGAACTTTCTGTTATCAGTTTTATACTTGGATATGATGAATACTTTTTCAAACTTAACCACAAATTGTATAATGGGAATGTTTTTATTATAATAACGACAATATCTGTTTTTATATGCTCATGTATGAATGTTTTTATTATAATAACGACAATATCTGTTTTTATATGCTCATGTATATTAGAGGGAATATGGCAAACAAGTAGAAAAAATCGGTTGAAAAATAAAAAGAACAAAAATGTCAAAGAATTTAATCAATAGAACAAAATATGCGATGCCTTAAAGAAAAAAAAACAGAACCCATGATTTATATACATACTTGAAATGGCATGGTCAAGGGCTTTTCAAAAATGTATAATTTGTCATTTTTTGGACAAATTTTTTTTTGCAAACATTTTTACTTTAAAACTGGATTTTGCGATAAAAAATTCAATTTTCGCAAATTTGCTAATTTTTTTGCAGATTCTAAAAGTAGAGCACAAGAGCTTTCTAATGATGTATAATTTGTCATATTTGGACATAAAACATGGGATTTAGAGGGGGGATCAAATTGACCCCCCCCCTCCCCAGCGTATCCTGGTTTTCAAGTACCCCAGCAGGGATAGGGTTTATACGTACATGCATTAAATCTGCCTTATTTTTACTATCAGAAGAATAACAAGAAACTTCTAATGCAGATTTATGATGTTAAACACTGTTACTCCTGCTACATCCCTTGGAGTAATCCTAAAACTATTGTTAATCCGGATCTTAAAGTTAAACGGATTAAGGCTTGATCAACAAAATGTCACCAAAAGTTTTACTTTCGCTAATAAGGGATCGCGGATCCACCCTAAAGGACTTAATCACTTTCAGTTTGAAACAAACTCAGTTGAAGATTCTTACTTTTTTATACATCCCTGACTTCTAGTTATTCTATATTTTCCATGTAATGCAGTACACCATACTCAGCAGGTTTCGTCAACTCAAAACTGTGCACAATAAAACAAAGCATTGATTATATTCCTGAACAAAAATATTAACTCTTTTATTAGAAATACAATGCATACTTTAAAATTAATCCAAATAATGCATATGTCTATTCTTTCAGGTCTGCTGATTCGTCAGAAACAAAAATAGAATTAGGTTAGAATATTTTTAACAGCACTGCATCATCAGCCTTGTACAAGTTTGAGAACGGTTGAATATTTAAGATTCCAAAGTCCCAAAAATTCCAAAATTAAAAGCTTTTCAGTTTTCACAATATTTTGTGGTTCATCCTGTACAATGTAGTACAAAATACAAATAGCTAGCTAAATGTGTGTGAGACTCTAGGGTTTAAAGTATTTAGGGTTTGTTAGTGTATCTTAAACTGACTATCTCTCGGTTTAAAGTATTTAGGGTTTGTTAGTGTATCTTAAACTGACTATCTCTCACTTCTTGGGTCGCATGTGTCGGATGGACGTGCTGAAGATTTAGACTGTACCCTGAAGTGAGAGATGAAGTCAGTTAAAAATACACTAACTAACCCTCAAGATTCACAGTGATAAATTACGGACATTATCCAGTTACAAAGAGATATTCAGTGATTCATAGGTTTTACAATGTGGGTTTGAACCACCTACAGTGGGACCTTGAAACTTTGGATTAGGAAGAGGACTGTTAGACTTAAGTTATAATTTTTAATGGTCTTGTGATCATGAAGCACAGAAATATAAAGTGTAGCAATACACTGACCTATTTCACTCTGGTCTATATAAATAAAGTAGTAATCTCTTTTCGTTTGTATGTCACATCATAACTCAGGAACCCCTTAACCGATTTGCCTCAAATTTTGATTGGGCAACTCTGTAGAACAACAGGAATGTTCTAAGCTTGGTTTAAAAGATCTTAGTTAAATAGGTTTACTCTTATTAATCAACTTTGTTTCCAAGCGAAGCTTGTTTCCCAATCATAACAACATACGATAATTCATCGCTTAAATGTCGTTTTCCTCTTCCTTAGTTTTTTAGGTCTTACTTTACAAAATTGATTCAGGGTTATTTTTTTTATATCATTGTTTTAGCGCGGTTGGGAGTTGATATGCTCCTTCAGATGGTTTTCAAGGATAATTACTGGCACGGTGATCTTCATCCAGGGAATATACTGGTCACACATACTAGTCAGGTACTATATACTGGTCACACATACTAGTCAGATACTATATACTGGTCACACATACTAGTCAGGTACTATATATTGGTCACACATACTAGTCAGTTACTATATACTGGTCACACATACTAGTCAGGTACTATATACTGGTCAGTCATACTATTCAGGTACTATATAGTATATACTGTTCACACATACTAATCAGATACTATATACTGGTCACACATACTAGCCAGGTTCTATATACTGGTCACACATACTAGTCAGATACTATATATTGGTCACACATACTAGTCAGGTACTATATACTGGTCACACATACTAGTCAGGTACTATATACTGGTCAGTCATACTATTCAGGTACTATATAGTATATACTGGTCACACATACTAATCAGATACTATATACTGGTCACACATACTAGCCAGGTACTATATACTGGTCACACATACTGGTCAGGTACTATATACTGGTCACACATACTGGTCAGGTACTATGGGAATTGATTTTAACTTGATATAATAAGAGCATTTCCAGGGCTCATGTTTTGAATGATTTTCAAGGGCACATGTTTGAATTCATGACTGTTTTAAGCATAAATTTTTAATCATATCTAAGAAATTCATTGGCCATGTTTGAGAGAAAGAATGATTTAGGGTCAATGTTTGAAATTAATTATAGAATATTTCAGGGCCCCTGTTTGAATGAAAGAATGTTCCAGAGTCCATGTTTAGAAATAAAAATAAGGATATTTTTAAAGCCCATGTTTAAATGTGCTTGTGCCCATGTTTAGAATTAAATATAAGAATATTTCAGGGCCCATGGTTAAATGTTTAAGAATGTTCTAGGGCCCATGTTTATAATAAAATATTTCGGAGCCAATGTTTCCCTAAAATCATGACTTAATTTGATTTGATTAAGGTGTTAAATAAAATAATATTTCAGGGTCCATGTTTGAATGTCCTGGATACCGGGATATCAGCCTCATTATCTAATGTAGATAGGTAGGTTACATTTTTTTAATGTTTTTTATAAGATTAAGAAAACTGACATTTTTCTTTTTCAGGAAAAATCTAGTGGAAACTTTTCGAGCTATCGTGAAAGGTGATGGATCAAGGTAGGATTGTAAAGATACCTGATGTTTTTTTCTAGGGGTATATATTTGTTATTGTCAACCTTATTAATTGAAAACTATAACATAATTGTTTTATTGAATGATTTGATTCATTGATTCATTGATTCATTGATTCATTGATTCATTGATTCATTGGTTCATTGATTCATTGGTTCATTGGTTCATTGATTCATTGATTCATTGATTCATTGATTCATTGATTCATTAATTTATTGATTCATTGATTCATTGATTCATTGTTTTATTGATTCATTGATTCATTGATTCATTGATTCATTGATTCATTGATTCAATGATCCATTGATTCAATAATCCAGTGATTCATTGATTCGTTGTGTCGTTGATTCATTGATTCATTGATTCATTGATTCATTGGTTCATTGGTTCATTGGTTCATTGATTCATTGATTCATTGATTCATTGATTCATTGATTCATTGATTCATTGATTCATAGATTCATAGATTCAATGATCCATTGATCCATTAATTCAATGATCCATTGATTCATTGATTCGTTGATTCGTTGATTCGTTGATTCGTTGATTCGTTGATTCATTGATTCATTGATTCATTGATTCATTGATTCATTGATCCGTTGATCCGTTGATCCGTTGATCCGTTGATCCGTTGATCCGTTGATTCGTTGATTCGTTGATTCGTTGATTCATTGATTCATTGATTCATTGATCCGTTGATCCGTTGATCCGTTGATCCGTTGATCCGTTGATCCGTTGATTCGTTGATTCGTTGATTCGTTGATTCGTTGATTCGTTGATTTGTTGATTTGTTGATTTGTTGATTTGTTGATTCGTTGATTTGTTGATTCGTTGATTCGTTGATTTGTTGATTCGTTGATTCGTTGTTGATTCGTTGATTCGTTGATTCGTTGATTCGTTGGTTCATTGATTCATTGATTTTTCGTTGATTCTTCTTTGATTCTTCTTTGAGATTCTTCGTTGATTCTTCGTTGATTCTTCGTTGATTCTTCGTTGATTCTTCGTTGATTCTTCGTTGATTCTTCGTTGGTTCGTTGGTTCGTTGGTTCGTTGATTCGTTGATCGATCTGTTGATCTGTTGATCTGTTGATCTGTTGATCTGTTGATCTGTTGATCTGTTGATCTGTTGATCTGTTGATCTGTTGATTCGTTGATTCGTTGATCCGTTGGTTCATTGATTCATTGATTCATTGGTTAATTCAATGATTGAAAGAATTCTTTTATATTCTAGTTTATTGTCAGGGTTGGAGAATTGTTCTTGGATCGTAGTATTCATGAGTGTGAAGACAAGAATGGGTTTATCAAGGAGCTGGCAGAACTGGTTTTACACGCTAGGGGTCAACAGCTGACACTAGACAGGTAGAATATTACATACTTTAGAACGGAACTAGTTTTATACGCTAGAGGTCAACATCTGACCTTAGACAGGTAGAACAATATTATTTATATAGCATAACTAGTTTTACTTGCTAGAGGTCAATAGCTGACACTAGACAGGTAGAACAATATTATTTATAGAGCAGAACTAGTTTTACTTGCTAGAGGTCAACAGCTGACACTAGACAGTCGACAGGTAGAACAATATTATACATGAGAGTAAAACTAGTTCTATACGCTAGAGGTCAACAACTGACACTAGACAGGTAGAACAATATTATATTCTATAGAACAGAATTAGTTTTACACGCTAGAGGTCAACAGCTGACACCTAGACATGTAGTACAATATTATACAAAGAGTAAACCTTGATCTACACGCTAGAGGCCAACAGCTGACACTTGACAGTCGACAGGTAGAACAATATTATACATGAGAGTAGAACTAGTTCTATACGCTAGAGGTCAACAACTGACACTAGACAGGTAGAAAAATATCATATTATATAGAACAGAACTAGTTCTACACACTAGAGGTCAATAGCTGACACTATACAGGTAGAACAATATTATATTCTATAGAACAGAACTAGTTCTAGAGGTCAACAGCTGACACTAGACAGGTAGAACAATATTATATTCTATAGAACAGAACTAGTTCTATTCACTAGAAGTCAACAGCTGACACTAGACAGGTAGAACAATATTATATTCTATAGAACAGAACTAGTTCTACACAATAGAGGTCAACAGCTGACACCTAGACAGGTAGAACAATATTATATTCTATAGAACAGAACTAGTTCTACTCACTAGAGGTCAACAGCTGACACTAGTTTTCCCTAATCTTAATAACATTTTACGGGGGTTTTACGATGTTTTTATCTTTCAAAAAAGCAGCGAAATGGTTTCAAGCAAATCGTTTGTCACTAAATGTCTCCAAAACAAAGTATATAGTATTAAGAAATAGAAATATGCACTTTGACCCCAACAGTTGTAATATATCAATAGGAAATGAGATACTTGCCGCAGATCACCTGACAATCTCCTTCCTTCCAATCAACTCCTTACCTATCCAAAAAAATATCTTGATATGTGTAACCAATTATATTCAGTATCGTTAATTACTTACGGGCCAACCACTCAAAACAACCAACCCTGGTTAGGCGGGTCCAAACTGCATAGTAAATTGTGATTGCTTATTTGTAATATCTCATGCTTTGTAGTTGAATAAATATATGAATATGAATGAAATAAAAATTGATAAAGTTTAAGTGAAGAAACTTTTATGTTAAAAAAAGTTTAAATAGCTTTTGTTATAGTTTAAATCTGTGTTTTCCCGCAATTTCGTGATAACTTATCTCCTACTTTTTATATTTTTTATGAGCTGCTGATTTGTTTTGGCCAAAATAAAAAATTTCTATAGTTTTTGATATTTATTATTTGTTTTCAGGGTTGATGTCTCTGAGCTTTTGAAAACTCTTTTCTCTATTCTGTCCAGGTAACATTCAAGCTTTACTTAGTTTGAAAGATTTCAAATTTTTCTTTCTAAATTTATTATTTTACTTTCTATTACTTTTTTGAACATGTTTAATGTAAAATGTACTTAAATTTCCATTAAACGTCTATTATTTGACATGAGGTCGACCTTGATTTCTATGATAGGGGACTGATTAATATTATTGTTATGAAACTTTAGGTTTCATGTGAGGTTAGATGCATCCTTCTCCTCTGTAGTTTTAGCAGTTCTGGTCCTGGAGGGGTTGGGACGATCATTAGATCCAAATATAGATCTACTCACTAGAGCTATTCCTTATCTAGCTCTTTCCAAACCTTGAGAACATGATCAGTGATCAAACTGATAATCACACCTTGATATATGACCAAACTCATCAATCAAACCATGTGCAGTGTTAGAACCGATCAGAGAAATTCCACTAGAAGGCAAAATAATAAAAAATTTCCTATAAAACAGAGAAATTCCAAAAAACTACGGAAGTTAATTCTAATTGATTATTAATATTATATTGCAATTGTTGCAATCCTATATCGACACAGGAAAGATTTCTTTCAAAATTTATTGTTCAAGACAAAATGTTAATAAGGCAAAGTTTAACCAAGGTGCTGAAATTTAAGTTTATTCAGTTAACAAAAATTTCTATATATTTCAGATAAAAACATGGTTGAAGCCATGTAATGGTTGCTCAAAATACTGGCATGGGGAAAACCCAGAAGGTTGTTGTCTGTGGAGCAAAGGAACGTGAAAATATTAAGAAAAATGACTACTTCTTTTTGTTTAATAAAAAAACCTAGTGCCAGCATATATTTCAGAACTGCCACCGGTCATTTTAAGAGTTGCATCAATGATTCACACATAATATCCTCTATCGATGCTGGAAATGTCCTTGCTAATAATTTCTTTTATGTCAACTCATGGATTTTGCGCAGAAAAGACGAGAAAGAAATATGCCCGGATTTGTCTGACTCCTGTACCTGTTTTAAACATATTTCACGTTACAGGGTACTGGAAAAACTTCTATTCTACGGAAAGCAATCTTTGATAAAGACGGTGTAAGATCATTATTATCATTATCATTATCATTTTTGATTTTTCCACATTGTCATCACATTCTACATTGTCGTTATTGTCATCAATAACATTATTGACGTATTTTTATCATTATCATCATTATCACCATTTTTGCCATTTTGTCTTTTTTTGTCTTATCATCGTAATCACCAATTTTGACATTTTGTCATTTTTGTCATTATCATCATTTTCATTAGGATCATCAACTTATCATTGTCATAATTTTTATTATTGTCATCATTGTTATTAATTTTTATTTTATTATTATTAACTTTCATTATCTTTATTATTATTATTTTCATTTTAAAAACAATTTTTTCTAGCCTACTTCCCCAACCTGGGAAGACGTGTACGAGGCTAATGTAGAGACAGATCGAGGAGTAAAAGAAGGAATTCGATTTTTCGATACAGCAGGACTAGATCATATACATAAGGTATTGAATACTTTGATACAGCAGGACTAGATCATATACATAAGGTATTGAATACTTTGATACAGCAGGACTAGATCATATACATAAGGTATTGAATACTTTGATACAGAAGGACTAGATCATATATATATAAGGTAGAGAATACTTTTATACAGCAGGACTAGATCATATATATAAGGTAGAGAATACTTTTATACAGCAGGACTAGATCATATAAATAAGGTATTGAATACTTTGATACAGCAGGACTAGATCATATACACAAAGTATTGAATACTTTTACACAGCAAGAATAGATCATATATATAAGGTAGAGAATACTTTGATACAGCAGAACTAGATCATATATATAAGGTAGATGATACTTTGATACAGCAGGACTAGATCATATACACAAAGTATTGAATACTTTTACACAGCAAGAATAGATCATATATATAAGGTAGAGAATACTTTGATACAGCAGAACTAGATCATATATATAAGGTAGATGATACTTTGATACAGCAGGACTAGATCATATACACAAAGTATTGAATACTTTTATACAGCAAGAATAGATCATATATATAAGGTAGAGGATACTTTGAAACAGCAGGACTATATCATATTGAATACTTTGATACAGCAGGACTAGTTCATATATATAAGGTAGAGAATACTTTGATACAGCAGGACTAGATTATATATATAAGGTAGAGAATACTTTGATACAGCAGAACTAGATCATATATATAAGGTAGAGAATACTTTGATACAGCAGGACTAGATCATATTGAATACTTTGATACAGCAGGACTAGATCATATAAATAAGGTATTGAATACTTTGATACAGCAGGACTAGACCATATACACAAAGTATTGAATACTTTTATACAGCAAGAATAGATCATATATATAAGGTAGAGGATACTTTGAAACAGTAGGACTAGATCATATTGAATACTTTGATACAGCAGGACTAGATCATATACATAGGGTATTGAATACTTTGATACAGCAGGACTAGATCATATAAATAAGGTATTGAATACTTTGATACAGCAGGACTAGATCATATACACAAAGTATTGAATACTTTTATACAGCAAGAATAGATCATATTTATAAGGTAGAGGATACTTTGAAACAGCAGGACTAGATCATATTTATAAGTTAGATGATACTTTGATACAGCAGAACTAGATCATATATATAAGGTAGATGATAATTTGATACAGCATGACTATATCATATATTTTTGGCATCAGAGAGATAAAAATATAATGGTTTGCTTAGAATTTATTATAAAAATGTTGTGCACTGATCACTAACAATAAAAAAGTTGATTACAAAATTAAACCAAATTAGTGATTGTTTACTATTTTCTAATTAAGGAAATACCCAGACACTTACTAGTTGGAGCTGATGGGTTTCTTATAGTTTATAGTGTAGACGACGATTATAGTTATCAAGTTACTCAGGTAAAATTCTACTAATCCGATACATTCACTGTGTGCTGGATAAGATATTTAATAATAACCTATCATTAAATAATATTTGATCATTTTATTAATACTAATAATGATATTAATGCTTTTGATAGAAATATTAATAATAATGATAATAATAATACTAATAATATTGATGTAATAATATTAATAATAATGATCATACTTTTGATAATAATAATATTAATAATAAATATCATACTTTTAATAAAATAATGCATGAAAAATCTAGATAAACCTGCTTTGTTTGATTTAAGGTGGCTAGTTTTCTTTGTTTGATTTAAGGTGGCTAGTTTTCTTTGTTGATTTAAGGTGGCTAGTTTTCTTTGTTTGATTTAAGGTGGATAGTTTTCTTTGTTTGATTTAAGGTGGATAGTTTTCTTTGTTGATCGATTATTATATATTTTTAACTTGTCAATAACATTATTTATTGTGTTTTTATTTCTTTTCTTTTGTGTATAATTGAAATAATTTCTTCATTACGGATTTAGGCAATAAAGAAAGATATAGAGAAGAATCGTGAGAAAAAGGACGTTGTTATTCTTGTTCTGGGGAACAAGAAGGATAAAGGAGCAACCAGACAAGTAGATACAACCCAGGTATAAGATACAGTATTGTGCAACCAGACAAGTAGATACAACCCAGGTATAAGAAACCGTATTGTGCAACCAGACAAGTAGATACAACCCCGGTATAAGATACAGTATTGTGCAACCAGACAAGTAGATACAACCCAGGTATAAGATACAGCATTGTGCAACCTTGATAATAAATAACCCTTGTAATAATACTATTACTAATCGTTTTTACATATTTGAGGTGTCTTCTGGATCGGCCCCCTAGACAGTGCTATAGTAGATTTATCAGAATAAATATTGTACAGTGTACAGTGTACACCGCTCAACAACATTAAGATAAAATCTGCCTCAAGAAGGATCCAAGTCCATAAGAAAAGGATCTAAGTCACAGAATAGTATTTTAGTCCCCAAGGTCAAGTTTTTACGTGCTATGAAAAAAAGATAAATCTCTTGCTATTGATCACATAGCCACAGAATGAGAATTCCATGTTATTGTTTGCAGGCTCTAAACTGGGCTGCTGCTGAGAAGATAAAACTAGCTGAGGTGTCAGCAACAGATCGACATTCTTTATATGAACCTTTCTCGTACTTAGGAACAGTTCAAACTTATTGCAGGATTTTTTTCTTTTACCGAAATTGATAATTTGTTTTTTTATTTGATTTCTTTTTGTGCATGAAAGGGACTGTCGTTGCAATTTCAAATAACTTTCTATTTATGAAGATGCTTGCTCGATTTACAATGGTACCCTAAACCATTATCTAATGATTAATGTAAAAGATATCATGGGGATATTTAAATGTATAATCCAATTGTTGGGGCTAACTTTATGATTATTTCTTAAGTTTCTTTAATCTTCCTAGATAAGTTGAAGTACAATATTTTTTGTAGTTTGAACCTGCAAAAATAAATATTTTCATAATCTCATCGATAATTTTCAATTTATCAATAATAAAACTTTCTAAGATATTATTAAAAAGTGTTTTTTTTTATAAGAAGCGGCGAGAAAATGGTTCCCTTTAAAAAAACATTGACCCTTTTTCTGTAATAATGAACTGGTATTTTATAGCAAGTAAACTGAACCCACCTCCGACTAAATCAACCCTAGCGCAGATAACCTCGACGATAAAACGAGATAAAAACAAAGAGCAGGAATAATGGTTCTCAGCGCAGGTGAACAGTTTATTTTGTTACAATGTGAATCTAGTTTTGAGGTTTTTATCTGTTCTGAGAAGAACGGGTCTAGTTTCCGCATTCAGTTCAGAAATATTTCTGATATCTAATCTAACCGAGGGAGTTGATAATATTTATAATTGCAGATTTTAACTCTCTTGCAATCCAATAAACCGAAAAATATACCAAATTATAAGACCTAATATTTTGTAAACCTCTTGCCCTCAAAAGACTAAATGTAACAAATTTAAGTTTTATAAATCTAAAATGTTGAGAAGTTAATAAACAACAAATATTATTTTTGAAGCTGGATCTGGGTATGTTGTTTGACCAGAGGTTGGAACTTTAGTTTAGGGTATCGTTAATCTTGACACTTGATCTCGATATGCAATGTGGGGATTACTGCATGATATCTCAATGTAAGTTATCCCTGCAGGGTATAACAGTATTTTATCGATTATCGAAGAGCAATTAAAAAATAATTAGTAGGCCTGCTTAGTCCAGAGATTTACAACACAAAAATTCTGACTTCGCAGGATTAATTTGTTTTCACGAAGTTCCAGAATCAGGATCTGCATGAAAATAAAGTATATCCTACGGACTTGTGGAAAGGATACATGGCATTTATGGAAAATAACTTTGACAACGAATTTATCCTTCTTTTACAGTTTTTATCTTGTCAAGGAGAGTCCATTTCCTGTCCCAGAGCTGAAAAGTCACCCAAGACCAATCCCTGCTTCGTCAGGAACTCCAGCTACCCCTCATGCTCCTATTCTTTCGGCCCCTCCTGTTTTTACTGCTCTAGACCAACCCAAGATATCTACATAGGAGCAAACAGAAATATTTTGAAGATAATTTTTTATAGCACATATGTGTAATGTGTACTGTTAATTTGACAGATTTTCCTGTTATCCTTCAATATTTAAAGGAGTATATAAAATTAAGAAATTTGATTGTTTGAAGATTAAGGGAATAAAACTTGATTGATTGAAAGAAAAGATTTTTTTTAAAGAGATTTAGATTTATTTTAATTATTATTAAATATTTCTGTGGTGAAGACTGTACTGATTGTACTGCTCAGCTTTGCATAGAATGTTTTCGACGCGGTAAAGAATCGAAAGAGCACAGGTCAGTGCCGCGCATAATAATCATATGCCATATAATCGTACAGTCGTCTTTGATTTTAATTCACAAACTTTATTTTTAGATTAGTGTCTATCATAGCCAAACACAATAATTATCATATCCTATTTTTCTAGGATGTGATCTGCTTAAATTCTTTATGATCCAATTTGTTAATTAAATCTTTTCCTCAAGAAGTTATCATTATTTAGTAAAACAAACAAGGCAATTGCCAGCAAAGCGTCAGCAGATGGCACAAACAAGTTACTTCAAAAATAGTTCTCTGATTTCTTTAATTGTGAGGGGATTAAAACATACTTTTTATATAATAATATTTTCTTTATCAAATAATATTTTCTATTCAGGAGTTTTCATCAATATTGTATAGTCCGGACAAATCTACCTGTTCTTGAAGCAAGCTGGACATCAGGTAAATTTAAAAATGATCATTAAAAAAATTTGATTTTGGTTTTAAGTGGTAATTTTCTAATCTCAATTAAGATTGGAGAACTCCAATTACTCTTGAGATCTTATTTGAATGCAGGGGATATTAGTTCCAAAACTAAAATTTGGCCCATTTCTAACACTCAGTGTTAGAAATGGGCCAAGTTTTAAGTTTTGGAACTAATGTCCCCTGGAATGAATGGGGGGGGGGGGGTCTTTCCAAAAGCTATTGTCTCTGTTCATAATTTTCGCTCTATTCCCTTGACTTTCTTATTCATCTTTTGTTAATCTTCAACTTTTTATTTCTTTGCTTTTTCCCTCCAAGAGTGCTAAGCTCTTTTTCCAATAGCGTAGGCATAGTGACGGTTTTACGTTAATTCTCGATTTTCCCCAAAAAAAATCTTAGCGAGAAATCAAGACCTTACTTCTGTTTGCCCTTTTCTTTCTATTTTCTCGATTTTTTCAATTTTAGTTTTGTGTTCTTATCCTCTAGTAGTTGAATTTAGTTGATGAGAAGCTTCTACTTGATCTGGTGGTAGAGTGTGGTTACGGGAACTGGGAATCCATTGCTAAACTTCTTCCTGGCAAATCACAGAAGCAAATCCAGGAGCACTTCAATAAATACTATATACAAGTATGGTACTTGAAAACTTATTTTCATCTGACAATAGAATTTAAGTGACCCTCCATTTAAAAAGAAGATTTCGTTTTTGTTAAAACTTAAAAATTTTTGATATTTAACAAATCCTCCTCATTTCTATTACAGGGAGAAGATCCTATTTTGATTCCTAAATACCAAGAAGACCGAACCTTTCTAGTTCCTTCTCCTACACCGTTCCCTGCAGTGGGCCCTCTAGAAAATCCACCGCGGCCAGTGCGCAAACTCGGAACTGTCAAAGATTTGGCGGATTACAACCCAGCTCGAGGAGAGTTCGGTGTTGAATATGATAACAATGCAGAACGTGATGTTTCTCCAGCCCTGAACCTTCAACTATATCAACCTAGTTCTAGTAATGATAATGATCTAGATGTAGAACTACAGCTTGCCATGGTCGATATATACCAGCGGAGATTACAGAAAAGAGGGAAAGTCAGGAAATTAGTTCGTGATTACGGGTTAATAGCGAGGAGAAAAGTCTTCACCAATTCACTTAGGTGAGATCAATTTTCTTGATGTGACTAGTTGATTGATATTGATTGATTGATCAACGGATTGATTTAGAAAATGATGGACTGATCCAATGATTAATTCATCAAATGGTTGATTGATCCGACGATTGATTGGTCAAAGGATTAATTGATCAAATGGTTAATTGATCAATTGATTAATAGATATTTGATTGATCAAATGGTTAATTTTTCATTCGATTGATTGATGAGTTGATTTATTATCTCATTAACCAAATGATTGATTGATTGATCATTATTTCTTGTTAGATATAAGAACGTTAAATGCTGGAGCGGGGGTGGATCGGGTGAATTAACAGTTTTCAGTCAACTTCTTAAACCCTATCAGATGGACTTCATCCTGGAGGTAGGATTATTGATGTTTCATTTTTTTCTGAAACCCGATTCAAAAAATTTTACGTTTATTATATTAAAAATTTAAATATGATTGTACGTTATCTAAGGACAGTGCAAATTTTACAGAAGATGAACATTGATCAACTTCTAATATTAACATAAATCTCACGCGTTTAAAGGGAGTGTCGAAAACTAATCGATGACTATTGTTTGTAATAGCTGAATGATTTGTTTGGAATTAAATTTATTTGTTTATGATCCGAGTTGAATGTTGCATCTTCCTGAATTTGTTTGGACACTACGTTCTTCGGTATTAGTCGTTTTTAACAATTTTCTCCTTTTAGACGCAACAAATAGAAGTAAGATTAGTAGCGATCAAAAGCGCTTTTTTTATCGCATTAAGCCCCCTTTTCATTTTTCGCGAACACTCCCTTTAAGTGTTTCTATTTTAACTCAGATAAAAATTGAAAAGACCAGAGGTCAAAATATTTGTATGGAGTATCAATGATCTTGAAATCCAATGTGGGCACTTTAGAATTTGAGGAATAAATACTTGATCCCTCAATTAAAGTTATCTCTACAGTGTCTGGCCACAATCGAAGAGTAATTAAAATGATCCGTAGGTCTGCATAAGATGAATATCAATGCTTTATCCCGAGATTCTCTACACAGAAGATCTGACTTCAGATAACTGTTTGATTGAATTGAATGTTTGCTTTGTTTAGGGTTTACTGCTAGAGGCCAATACTAAGTTCAAAATCCTCAAGCTACAAAAACTAAGGCAGCAAGGTATTTTTTACAAAAGAATCATTTGTTAGTCAATAATTTTTAAGCTTATATGACTTTTTAAAGAAAATAAAGAAAGTGTGAAAATGCTTACTAGTTAAACTACTTAATTCGTTCTATTCACTATTTTTTATTTACCAGGATTAAAGATGTTGGGCAGCGCTCAAGTTCTTGACAATCTTCTGCAGGTCAGATACTCTGAAATAAAAAAAAATCAATTTCTGTGAACGTGGGGGGGGGGGGGGTTATGATGATATATAGGGTTACTCACAAGGATGAGACTTCAATGGCGACCTTAAACTCTTCAAATATGACAATTAGAAGAGAAGGTATACTTTTGGGTACAACATTGACATTAATTTCGAAATGGTTTATTTAATGATTTGGTGAAGATAATGAAACGTGTAAAGCTGCGGAGAGCAAGGACTGTAAGAAATAAGAATGAATAAATTCGGTTCAATCGTCTTTGAAGTATCATCCTTTGTGGGTAACCCTGTATGATCTTTTACTTCATCGTAATATGGGATGAAAGAAACATTTTGCATGTTCCGATACGAACTTACTAATCTTGAACAATCTCAAGGTACGAGAAGAGCATGTAAGACAGCTCTCTACAAATTGTATACCTGGAGATTCGGAACCAGCCCTCATCTCTAAACTAATACCTCCAGGTTATTTTTCACAACAAAACAAAATAATTGATCATCTATTGATGAATTCATTTTCCTGATTCACTTCTTGATCTATAGTTTGATAATTTAAATGAAAAGTGCAGTCGTTCAATAATTGGACGAAAGATGACGATTGATGTTTTGATTGCTGGCTGAATTGATTGATTGATTAATCAGGAAACCTGTGTGACTGGAGATTAAACAATCCAACCCTGAGCTCCGGATCCCAGATCTCATCCCAACCATGGTTTAAGGGAACCAACACTTCTAGGTCAGTTCACTCCGGGAAAAAAGAGGTTTAGTATACGCCTGGATACACTAGGATTAAAGTATGTTTAGGAGGTCTAGTATACGCCTGGATATACTAGGATTAAAGTATGTTAAGGAGGCCCAGTATACCCCTTGATATGCTAGTATTAAAGTATGTTTAGGAGGTCTAGTATACCCCTTGATATGCTAGTATTAAAGTATGTTAAGGAGGTCTAGTATACCCCTGGATATACTAGGATTAAAGTATGTTTAGGAGGTCTAGTATACCCCTTGATATGCTAGTATTAAAGTATGTTAAGGAGGTCTAGTATACCCCTGGATATACTAGGATTAAAGTATGTTTAGGAGGTCTAGTATACCCCTTGATATGCTAGTATTAAAGTATGTTAAGGAGGTCTAGTATACCCCTTGATATGCTAGTATTAAAGTATGTTTAGGAGGTCTAGTATACCCCTTGGTATGCTAGTGTTAAAGGTGTTTAGGAGGCCCAGTATACCCCTGGATATACTAGGATTAAAGTATGTTTAGGAGGTCTAGTATACCCCTGGATATACTTGGATTAATGTATGTTAAGGAGGTCTAGTATACCCCTTAGATATACTAAGATTAAAGTATGTTTAGGAGGTCTAGTATACCCCTGGATATACTGGGATTAAAGTATGTTAAGGAGGTCTAGTATACCCCTGGATATACTGGGATTAATGTATGTTAAGGAGGTCTAGTATACCCCTGGATATACTGGGATTAATGTATGTTAAGGAGGTCTAGTATACCCCTGGATATACTGGGAGGAGGTCTAGTATACCTCTGGATATATTAGGATTAAAGTATGTTTAGGAGGTCTAGTATACCCCTGGATATACTAGGACTAGATGGTTATGAAAGACTGACTGACGAGGAAAGAACCCTCTGTACTAGCATAAGGTAAAATTAAAACTAAGTTTTCAACATAACAAAATTAACATTTATTTTTGTTTTATAGATTAATACCTGCCACCTATCTGGAAGTGAAAAGCCTACTCGGTAAGCATTAAGCATATCAAAGTGTAACAAAGAAAATTTGAAGGGTATATGTTTTAAGAATAAATTCCCATTTGTATTTGAGTTTTAAAATCTGTTAAATGGAACTGCCGTTATTTCATATGATAATCGGTCTAAATAGGTGAATTTAAAATTATTAATTCATGATACGGATTATTTAACACTAAAAAGTCACATTGTAGAACGTGAGAGTACACGGCGGAAAGGTCTCCGACTGGCGGATGCACGGCAGCTAGTCAAAATAGATGTCAACAAAACTAGAAAAATTTATGACTTTCTCATCGGACAAGGGTTGATAGAGCAGACTAGTTCTTAAATAATCAAAATATAATGTATATGGTTAGTGATTATCCTGCAGATTTGTATGTATTGCACAACGTATTCACTGTTAGAAGGGTTATCGAAGATATCAGAAAATCATTGTTAAGAACCCCTACTTCGTTCTTTACTGTTCCCTCCTGCTAAGAAAATTTGGAGTCGTAATTGCTCTTATTCCATTTTCATAAAACGGTGTCATAACAATATGACTAATGCTCTATTAACCTAACGTTCGTTTTGACTCACGTCCAAGAAGACTATAGTCCAAATGAACAAAAATGTGTTCAATTGAACTGACCTTTAAACTTTTTTAGTTTTAATTAAAAATTTTAAGACTGTAAAGGAAAAATGTAAGTGGGTATAGACCAAAAGCTCTTCACTTTAGCTCTTGATCCCATGAAAGTTATATCTAATGTTACTGTCTCGTGAATTGATATTAAACTGTGTCAAATTTATACGAAAATTCATATATATATATTTATGGAGCAGAACTCCCACTGAGAGTGCAGTATACCGGTCACTTGTCTCTGTTTGTATCACGTGACAGTATACCGCACTACCATTGGTGGGAGTTCTGATGACGTCATATGTACTTAAAAATAATATTATCAATTATATCAATTAAAAATAAAAATAACAATTGAAATAATAATTGGAGAAAACATAAGTTACAATTAGGTTTCTCTGAAATATCTTCGTTTTCAAATTGTTTTCATATTTGCTGAATATGGTCTGTATAAACCTAACATTGCTATACTAAATTGTATATATATGAATTTTCGCATAAATTTGTCACAGTTTTATATCAATTTCTCGAGACAGGAACATCAGATATAACTTTCATGGGTAGCGATCAAAAGCAAAAGTAAATAGCTTTCAGCCTTTACCCTCTTTTATTTTTCCTTAACAGCCCCTTTAATTAAACGAAAACTGGTTTATTATGACCACATTTTGGAAATCCTGAGACTAGTATGTTGTCTTAGGTATTTAAACTGGAGTACAACTAAAATTATATTCATGATAAAATGCCTAAAGAAAAGAAGATATAGAAGTGTCACAACGTTAAGTCGATAACTGACATTTAACATACATCTTTACTGCACAATTTTGTACAATGTACACCTTAGAACAAACACTACATGTAATTATATTTTTTAACTGGATACTGTGATTAAATCCTATCTAATTTTTTGTCGAAAAAGTTTTTGAAGAAAAATCCGATAATTAACATTCAATTATAATTATTTTGTATAAGATTATTTTTATTTTCAATATCCTAACAATTCCTGTACGTTTATATTCGCAATCAGTGCCATTTTATGTTGTTATGAAAAGGGTAAACCACTTTAAAATATTTACTTTGGCAGATTATATTTTTTTTTCTATTTGTTCCTGCATTTTCATTGTAATTTATTTGTATTTAAATGCTGTAATATTATTTTGTTGTCCATTTGTTGAGATTAATGACTTGTAAATTGATAAATATGTAAATTTCATGTTTTAACTGATTAAATAATAAATATTTGGGAAATTGATTGTATTCGAATGTATTGAATGTTACTAATATCATAGCCAATTGTAGTTTGAATAAGATTCCTACTTAGTCGGAAGTGTAGCTTTTTAATCGACATACATACAGCTGTCTGGGTGTTTGTTTGTTTGCATTCAATAAACGTCAAAACGGGTGAACTGATCGGGCCCAAATTCTGTGTGGGACCTCAGGTGACCCCAGGGAAAGTTTGTAAATGATCGAATTTTCACAAGTTTGCCTCTAAACAAAATTCGAATTTTCAATAGTTTGAAAATTTTGAAAATCCACGACATTTTTATTATAAATTCGCGAAATTTTGTTGTTTTTGTTTCAGAATGTATACAAAGAGAAATAATTCACAATTGAAATAGAAGAAAAAGCCTAATATTTCAAATTTTAATGATTGAAAACTTCTCAATTCAGATTCTTGGTATAGTAAATAAAAAGATAAATTTTTGGATAAAATCTAAATCTTTATTTCTTAATCAATGATAAAGTTAGCTATAAAATTGCAATTGCAATATATACTATATAGTTCGGTGAACAGGATTGCAATATATACTATATAGTTCGGTGAACAGGATTGTAATATATACTATATAGTTCGGTGAACAGGATTGTAATATATACTATATAGTTCGGTGAACAGGATTGCAATATATACTATATAGTTCGGTGAACAGGATTGCAAAATAAACTATATAGTTCGGTGAACAGGATTGCAAAATAAACTATATAGTTCGGTGAACAGGATTGTAATATATACTATATGGTCGCAGATGCTAACCAACGCGGGATTGGGTAATAGGGACTCCTTCAGAACAGCGGACTCAATTTGTCAGGACGGAGGCAGGATCCTTCAATGCTCCCTCTGCTTCATGGGGTCAAATGATGAATTTCCTCTAATAAAATGTGAAGTCATGGAACAGTCAAGATCAGAAATCAAACTATTAGACGGGAATAGCTTACAAGCAACCCTAATGAAGCTAAGAATAGAAAGCAGGGACGACTTTGAGGCTTGCAGAATTTTCCTTGGCCAAGACAAGTCACTAAGGAGGACAGATCTAGCGGACAGGGGCCTGGCCCTAGACATCCTACTGGATAGATTCTTCTTGGAGTGGTCCAAGATAAGGGGAAAAGCTGTCCACCGCTCATCTCAATAGGTAACATTATTTCTTATTAAAGACTACTATATACACTGATTAAGACCACAAGAAATACTCTTTATTATAGGGTTAAATCACCAAAATTAAGATATCAAACCTGAGGAAGTTCAACTAGGGCTAAATAACCGAGAGATATGCTTTATTATGGGATTAAATCACCAAATTAAGATACCAAACCTAAGAAAGCTCAACTAGGGCTAAATAGCCAAAAAAAAATTCAGGATATTTGAGTCTTGATGATCATTATAATATTACTAGACTTGTTCTTGATCAAACTAATATTATTCCTTGACAAGACTTGCTTCTTTTCTTGCAAGAACTTACACTTATCTAAGTAGCAAATCAAATATTATTTAAACTAATTTCATTGACTTACATTAATAGCAAATTTACTACTTAAACAAGTTTAAATATTACGCTGCTTAATTCTAGCTATTCCAAATATACACTTGGATCTAAACACTCGCTGGGGAGACCTCAGCCATGCAATTTTTGCCCAATTAAGGGGTAAATTTCGCATGGAGGAGGTCCAAAAGTGAGGCATATAAACAGGATTGCAATATATGCTATATAGTTCGGTAAACAGGATTGCAATATATACTATATATTGCAATATGGTAAACAGGATACAGGAACCGCTTCACAACTAACATATTTTGTCACAAGCTGATGAACTACTACTTTTCGTTTTACCTAGTTTAATTAGAACTTCTTAGCGTTTATTATTTCCGACCTTTGATCATAGTTTTAAAGGGACTGTAAGTGTAAATGTAATTTAAAGTGACCGCCTATGCAAAGATGACTATGCTCGATTTACAACGGTACCATTAATATCTAAAAAAAATACTTATTCATAGCTTTTATTTTACCGTTGTAAATCGGGCATTGCCGAAAATAAAGTGTTTAAGTGCTGACTTATTAACGGCTTAAACGTACAAAAACAAATAAAACGCTAAATGCAATAAATTTTACATTTTTGGAAAGTTGCACTTATCCTAGCGAATTAAAATAGCTATCACATCTTGTCCATCTTGTGCATCTGTTTCCTTTTGTTTTGTATGCTTTACAAAGAGCTACGTTGGTCAGCGTTTATATCAATACAATTCACACATAAAAATAAATCATAATTTGAAGAGAAAAAATGTGCAGGAATCGTCATTTTTACAAGAGATAAATGCAGTTGCTTGGCTGCTTCCTTGACTGCCGACCTATCTTATGTGGTTCCTGAATTACGACTTTTTAATTAAGTTTTTATTTCTGACTAGCTTTTTTTAAATAACAAAATTACAAGAAAACAAATAGTAGTCAATTGGCAGCCTCACTTTGTTCCAATGTTAATGTATAGCCATGATTTCTGAAAACTCGGAAGAACTCAAAAGTCGTCTTCATTGTGTTGATATACACGACGATGACTAAATATAACTTTGAAATACAATGACCGGAATCAGGTCGAAATTCTAGATTTTATCTTAGTCAGTTATCCAGGCTCCAGGTGGACAATGCCAGTTTAAAACAAAGAGAAAATGTGATTGTGGGAAAATTTAATGATTTCTCAGGTAAGAAAAAGTATTAAATTCTGAAACATTCAGGACACATAAAAAAATAACCAAATATGATTTTATTCCTGATCGTTTTTCAACTTGACATTTCGGACACAAACAAATTATCAAACTGTTTATTTTATTCATATTTAAAAAGTAATAAGGTAAAATTAATTTAAAAAAACAACTAAATATTGAGTAAAACAATAACAATAACACTACAGAATGTAAACAAATTATATCGCATTAAAAATGACGAATTCAGATCTACTTGATACTCAATTTTACAATCACAGATGTAACCATTTAATGTGTACGACTATCATATACGAAAAAGAAAATTTCAGTTGGCGGTTTTATCATTTAAAAAATATTTAATAACTAAACAATTGACATCTTTACAGATATTTACAGTGAGAACCAGAAAACTGTGGAATATGAAGAATATTCAAGTAAATTTGATGTTGTTTAAAGCAAAAAGTTTCACTAGACCCTTATTAAATCACTTATTTAGTGAAACGGGATTGCTGCAGTGTTTCATGTTATTGAACAATTTAAAGTCATAACTTGAGTCTGTAAGTCATCGTTATTTTCCAGAGTTTTATGGTTATCACTGTAGTAATGGCAAACAGAATAGTTTTTTTCATAACTGTTCAATGTTGACAACAATCTAGAGTTTTTCAAAACATTTTGCTAAAACAAAACTTCCTTTAAAGTTGGAAATAAACTAAATTTAATAAATGCACAAGTTAGTTGACTAGGAACCATGAAGATTCACATTTTCAGAGTTATTTTGATCTTAGGTTTTAGTTGAGATGGAACAAACTTAGATCTAGTCTCTGGTTCCCTAGATCTAGGTTCTGTATCCCTGGATCTGGGTTCTGTATCCCTGGATCTGGGTTCTGTATCCCTGGATCTAGGTTCTGTATCCCTGGATCTAGGTTCTGTATCCCTGGATCTAGACACTGTATCCATGGATCTGGGTTCTGTATCCCTGGATCTAGGTTGTGTATCCCTGGATCTAGGTTCTGTATCCCTGGATCTAGGTTCTGTATCCCTGGATCTAGGTTCTGTATCCCTGGATCTGTGTTCTATATCCCTGGATCTGGGCTTTATATCCATGGATCTGGGTTCTGTATCCCTAGATCTGGGTTCTGTATCCCTGGATCTAGGTTCTGTATCCCTGGATCTGGGTTCTGTATCCCTGGATCTAGGTTCTGTATCCCTGAATCTGGGTTCTGTATCCCTGAATCTGGGTTCTGTATCCCTGGATCTATGTTCTGTATCCCTGGATTTAGGTTCTGTATCCCTGGATCTAGGTTCTGTATCAGAATAAGACCTGGAGTCTCTATGAACGCTGGTCACATGATCAACAGCAGATCTATGAGATTGAAACATTAGAAGACAGATTCTACATTTCTCTTGGAGATTCTTTCCACTTCCAACCTTAAATATGAAAAAAATTTAAACAGGAGTTTGAATTTGCTTGGAAGGATCGTCACGCAATTTAGGCCTGTATTTTTTGAGGGGGGGGGGGTCACCTGAAGATAGTTTTCGTGTGTTTGAAGAATATGTTTGTCCAAGACAGATCTAGGTTGACCAACATAGCTCTCATCACATCCAGGTATACCACACACCAGGGAGATTAAACTCTCAGCTTCAGCAGGGACCAGGATACTCTCCTAAACTTACAGTTTAATCCAGAACTTAGGAGACATCGAAAGAATTTATAAAATGTCGTTTTCTAATCTACTGAAAATGGAAAGATGCAGATATTTAGTTTTTTAATTGAATAATTATATGGAGCTCTTTAAAACTGTTCACACATATTTCATTTTTTATAAATAAAAATTACTGATATTTAGGTAAAATAGTACAAATCAGCTATTGAAACGTTTTTAAGACGACATTTTATAAACTCTTTCGATGACTACTAAGTTCTGGGTAAAACATTACTTTGTTACAGAGTGTCCCAATATCCACGGGGTTGTGTGAAGACATTGAAATCTCCTCTGTTTTTTTTTTAAACGAAGTAAGAACAATCTTAGAATGAATTATGACTGTATGCGGTATACTGTCTTTGGGTAAAAAATTAATAGAAACTGGAACAAAATTCTCAACATCTCAGTCATTTTTAGAGGTATAATGTACGCAAACCATACTTGGGAATTCTCGGAACTAAGGAAATATTGTGTTTATTGTTTTTAGTTTTTGATTAGATATAAAAATTAATATTGCATAGATCGCTTAATTCCTATGTTTTCTATGGGACACCTTGTTCAACCAGAATTGGACATTACTAATTTTTCTATTTTAAAAGAGTAAATTTAGTTGGTAATTTTCAACAAGTGCTTACTATATATTTAACAAGCTTATCAATTATGATGAATAAAAATAGTAATAGTACTTTAATTAATATAGTACAATTTACAGTTACTGAGTTGTTTAAAGATCATACATGAACAACTTTATCAAACAAAATTGTGATTACAACGCACCATTTACTGATTTACAAATTCGTAAAAAGAGTAGAACCATTGCAGTATTTGGTCAAGGTACTGGAACAGTTTTTTTATTAGTCTATTATGTATAAAATTCCCCTTCATGTATTAATATGATTCCTAAATTTCAATAAATATACATAAGTCACGTATAAAAACACATAAAAACCCACAGAAGTGAGGCATACATACAATGATGACCCGTATAATTTAATCCAATTAAAAGTCGTCTTTTTAAAATCATAAATGTTCAAGATTATAAAAATAAAAATTTTTAAAATCTGGCAATTTTTTTAATACAAAGATCTTAGAAAGACGACTTTCATTGTTTTTTACTGGTTATCACTGTTAAACACGTCTTAACATTGTATCTCCAGATAAACAATTTTTATATATTTATTCATTACCCTTATGATGTTTTCATCTTTAACCCTGTGAAGTTGAATAATATGGTTCTTCATCCTGTAATAATCCTGAAAAAGAAATATCAAAGAGATTGTGGTAAATTTGTTAAAATCCCACCCGCAACGGCCAACAAATTCTGTATACATCGTTTAATGCAAGCACCATAAATATCTTTATATTCGTAAATATATTAACATCTAATGTTGTGCCTGAGGCAAATAAAAATGTTTGATTTGATTTGACTTACCTCTGTAGTATGCGAGCAGGCTGCACACCGGAACATGAGGTGTGCGTGTATTCGATCGTGCTCCAGGTCGGTTTTAAGCACGAGACCGGGCGGACACATCCGGCACCGAACCCTATCACTGGTTCCCTGGTCTCCTAGTGCATCCGGGTGGGTTCCAGGTCCAGCTCTGGGTAGGATCACGATCTCATCATCGGAACCGGTTTTCTTTCGTTCCGTTCGATCTCTAGGTCCGGAGCTCCCATGAGACTTCTCATCCGGAGATTTGAACACGCCTCTGGTTATCTTTATATCAGAGTCGGAGTCCGAACTCTGTATTCTAGTTCCCGGGATCTCCGTCAAGGACGAATTGGAGGAGAATCGACCTCGTTTCGGGGACGGAGATCGCCCGTAGGATTGATGTTCATCACGTTTAAGTCCTTGTCTCTCACGTTCTATATCTAGTAGTCTTCTCTCATCCTCCTGAAAAGCTGATCTCGACTGGGATGACTCTGATAATGGTTGTGATGAATAACTCTTAAATGATTCACTTCCTTTGGATGACTGACCTCTGGATGATTCATATCTTCCCGGGGATGAACGGTCCCTGGATGACTCTGGTCTCCCTTGGGATGAATGATCTCTGGATGACCCCCCGGAACCCCCCTGAGTAAAGAATTCTGGGTCTAGTCCCATATACTTCTCATGCCGTCTAGCTATATGAGCCTCCTGATGTTCTTTATCATTCAGTTCATAGTTATGGCAGGCTCTACACTCAAACCTGGAATATATCAGGTTGGAACTTTAATAGTTTAACGGACAGTGTAACTTGCAAAGCTTTGGAGAAAAATTAAAAAACAAGCTAAATGATGGTAATGTCCGATTCACAACGGTACCCTTAAAAGTTTGATCAAGTATGAATTAGATATAAATGTTTTAATTTTTAAAACTGATTATTTTCAATTGCGCAGTTCTAATGTAGGAAAATATAAAGGAATTATCACAATTAAACACTTAAACTTAGATAAACGACAAAATTTTCCTAATTATTGATCAGATAAAGGATTCAAGGGTACCTTAGTGAATCAGACCTTTCAATTTTGGCATAGAGGGTCACTTTAAATTTCGCTTACAGTTCCTTTAAGCTAGCAAGCTTTTCAGACTAATTTTCACACCAAAAACCTTAATTTTTCCATTAAATCTTTCATTTTCTTATGTTTAAACGATGGTCACTGTTCAGTTAGGGTTTTTTAACGAAAAATTGATTATGTACGAGACCAACAAATCCAAACAAAAAAAGCGCCAAAATTTGCAACAACAAAAAAATCACACAAAAAAAAAACAATTTAACTAACTTCTACGGGTCTTGCGAGTCTCGTATTTATTACCTGATCAGAGTATTCGGGTTGGTTTTGTTCTCCGGGTGATGGTTTTCAATATGTTTATAAATAAGCTCGATCTTTTCCATGAACTGTCCAACCTTCTTGGGACAGCTCCTGCAGATGAAGAGGGTGAGGTTGTCCGGGACCCGGAGCTCCCCTCGGTCCACCAGCTTGTCCACGTTGAAGGTGTCGAGGCTGTGGCACTCCACCATGTGGTTGGTCAGCTCGTACACGTGCAGGAAGGATATTTTACAGGTTCTACCCTTCCTAGGATAGAGATTAAAATTGTCAATGTAATTTAGGATTTAAAGAATTATAACCCCGCCCCCCCCCCCCCAAGAGATTAATTGTAGAGGGGGATTGGGGGGGTTCGACTTTTTAACCTCTTAAATACTTTTTTTAAACAATTTAATTAAACATCGAAAATAAATTTCTGTCATTTTGAGGAAAAATAAAAATTATTTTAAGAAAGGAGTTTTTCAAGATTTCTTTAAACGTGAACTATATTTTGATGCAGTTCGGTAAAAAGAAACTTTGATGCTAAAAGTAAAATTTTTTTACCGAAATATGTAATAATAAAAGTTTGTTTACCTTTGTTTTAAACAGATAAATAACTTCCTTGAATGTTTATCGTAAAGATGATCTTGAAGACCAACTGAGGAATGAACCTGAATTTTAAAACATAAAATAACAAAATACTTTTGAAATTATTGTGTTTTTCTGGTAGAATCTTAACTTGTGGAAAGAATGTTTCTTTCATTGATATAAAAATACATAAATGAAAATAAATTTTTAATTATTAATTTTATTTTTATTTTTTAAGAATCTTCCAAAAATACACATTTGATAAAAAATCGTCTCACCTCGGGACAGAAACTACACTGTGAGAATAAATCTTCCTGAGCGGGTTTAGAACAAGATTTTATAAATTCCAGAGCTTCAAGTCCTGTTGGAGACATTGCTCTACCAGTGCTCTATCAAACAAATATGCATTACCCTTACATTCTTTCTTTTTTTACAAAATATCTTGCGTTTTGTGGATTACAAATAGCTAATGATACATATACATATAGTTAATGTTTTGTGTATTACAAATAGTTATGTTTTGTGTATTACAAATAGTTTATGTTTTGTGTATTACAAATAGTTTATGTTTTGCGTATTACAAATAGTTTATGTTTTGTGTATTACAAATAGTTTATGTTTTGCGTATTACAAATAGTTTATGTTTTGTGTATTACTAATAGTTTATATTTTGCGTATTACAAAAAGTTTATGTTTTGCGAATTACAAATAGTTTATGTTTTTTGTATCAAAAATAGTTTATGTTTTATGTATTACAAATCGTGTATGTTTTGTGTATTGCAAGTAGTTAATGTTTTGTGTATTACAAATAGCTAATGATTTGTGTATTACATATAGTTCATGTTTTGTGTATTACAAAAAGTTAATGTTTTCTGTATTACAAATAGTTTATGTTTTGTGCATTGCAAAAAGTTAATGTTTTGCGAATTACAAATAGTTTATGTTTTTTGTATTACAAATAGTTCATGTTTTGTGTATTACAAATAGTGTATGTCTTGTGTATTACAAACAGTGTAAGTTTTGTGTATTACAAATAGTGTATGTCTTGTGTATAACAAACAGTGTATGTTTTGTGTATTGCAGTTTATATTTTGTGTCTTCTAAATAGTGTATGTTTTGTGTAGTACAATAAGTTTATGTTTTTTTTAAAGAAAACAATCCCAAAAACGTGTATTTTCTATGCTGTCTCACGATAAAAATGATCGAAATATTGCAAAAAATCTTTAAAATCCTTTAAAATTTTACCGTCATTACTCCAGATGTATTAGGTGTAGTGTATTGACTTGAACTAGGAACTGATGGTACAGCTCCGCTAGAAACAGAATTGTTTCCACTAGGAACAGGATTGTAAAGGCTAGGAACAGTGTTGTATCCGGATGCTAAAGGATGGGTTGGAAGGATCGGCAGGGTTGGCATCGCTGCTCCAGGAGCAAACATCGGTATCCCAGATAGGGTTAAAGTAGAGGCATAAACCGGAGCTCCGGGTTGGGTAAAGGTTGGACCAGGATAGGTTGAGGAAGGATCATAAACTGCTCCAGGTACTACTGGTCGGGTAGAGATGTATGTGGCTCCAGGTAAAGGTTGAGCAGGAACATATGCAGCTCCGAGAAGTCCTGGATATCCCGGGTAAGGTAGAACTTGAGGAGCTGCTCCTACAGACAGGAAAGGTGGTGGAGCGGCAGTATAGGGTTGGAGGGAGGGAGTGGGAGCCTTTAGACCCAGGACTGATGGATAAAGAGAGGATGAGGTGACATGATCTCTAGGTAGGGCTCTGTCATCCTCTCTACTTCTCTCATCATACCTGGATCTTTCGTTATCCCGATAATCATCCCTTCTTGACTCCCGACCATAATCATTTTCCCTTCTTCTTCCCGATCCATCCCTCCCTCCCGATCCTTCTCTTCTTCTCTCATGTTCTCTTCTTCCATCTTCTTCTCTTCTCAACCCGTTCTGGTTTCTAGACATCGGATGATCATCATGATGCCGTGATCTATCTCTAGCAGGAGGATCATCTCGTCCTCTATTCTGTCCTCCAGATCTTCGTAATCCTCGCCCTGCAGCCTGGGCCCGACCTTCGTTTTCTAAACCTCTCTGAGATAAACCTCCTCGTCCTCCTCGCACACCTCGACCCATCCCGTCGAACCCTCCGCGTCCCTGGGATCCATCAAAATTACTTGGACCACCTCTGTTTGAAGATGGTCCACCACGGGTTGGTCCACCATGACCACCCCTGGTTGGACCTCCTCGACCTTGAAATCCAGAGGGTCCCCCTCTACCACCAGGCGGACCACCTATATTTTCAGATGGTCCCCCGATGCCTAAAGAAGGTCCACTTCTAAAAGATCCACCACGACCACCATTTGGTCCACCACGACCTCCAGGTGGTCCACCTCGACCTCCAGGTGGTCCACCAAAGCCTCCAGGTGGTCCACCTCGACCTGCAGACGGTCCACCTCGACCACCAGGTGGTTCACCTCGGCCTCCTGGTGGTCTCCCTCGACCTCCTGGTGGTCCCCCTCGACCTCCTGGTTGCACCCCTCGACCTCCTGGTAGTCCCCCTCGCCCTCCATGTGGTCCACCTCGACCTCCAGGAGGTCCACCTCTACCCCCATGAGGTCCTCCTCGCATCGGACCACCGCGTCCCCCCGGCCCCCATCCAGGTCCACCTCTTGTTGGTCCTCCTCTATAATGAATACCTCTAGGAGACATTTGTTTATCAGTTTAACGAGAAGTTTGAGTCCGATATCAGTTACATTTTCTGAATTAAAGTTGATAAAATGAGAAACATAGAATGATGTAAAATGATACTTATTGGAAAAATGCAAAATTTTATCACAATTTAGTTTATCAAATCATTTTATATTTTAATTTTCTAATTCAAATATATTTTCGATACCCACTCAACCGACCTAAAGGAAACTAACATAAGTAATGAAGATGTTTTTTGACCTAAGGGGGTCTGTCCTAGTGAACGATTTTTGGACCCCTCCCCCCCCCTCCTATCAATTTTGTACATGACCATTTATTTTACAGCAAATTTATTATTATTTATTTTTTGGTTATTTAGGGTTAGGTAAGGTAAAAAACTTCCTGGGCCGAGCGCTGCGGCTAGGACAGGCTAGGGGGCCGAGCGCTGCGGCCACGGGTTAGGTTAAGTTAAGAAACTTCCTGTCACACCCATGTACAAAATTGATATGAGGGGGGGGGGGGTCCAAAAATCGTTCTCTAGGAATATACCACCTAAGGTTTTACAGACCCGATCTAAAAAGTTATTAGATCTTAAAACAGGATTAGATAATGTTTAGGTCGGTTTCCTCTATTGTTCAGTTTACAATGAATTGCCTTTTTTAACACAATCTTGGGTATATATAAATAATTAATTTACGGAAATGTACTCTTTTTTAACCGCGATCGGTACACAACTGCACATATTCCTACTAAATGACTATTTAGCGTTTATGTGAATTCTCTTACAACGAAACTTACTTACTACGTACACGACGTTTTATCGTAGAAAAATTAATTAAATATTAAAAAAGTTCCAAGATTCCAATCCTGTAGTTTGTTTACAATTATGTTGATTGTTGTCTGTTGATGCTAATTCTACATCAGCTGATTACAGAGTGATTCCAGGTTCTACGTAGCGAACGTAGCACAAATATTCCTGAGTCTACGCAGTAAACGTCCTTAATTGTATAAGGATTTGTTAAAGAGAAAGAGAGATTGGAGGCGGCGGGGGGGTGGGATATCTATTTGAAGAGTTTGAACTACTGCTGTTTGAACAATTGTGCGTTTGAACTATTGTCCGTTTAAACTATTGTTCGTTTGAACTATTGTTCGTTTGAACTATTGTTCGTTTGAACTATTGTTTATATGAACTACTAAAGTGGTTAAGAGCGATTATGGGGAGGGGCTTTGGAGGATAATTAAAACTATCTAGAGGGGGGGGGGGATTCAACCAAAAAGAATAGATTGGATTCAACCTCAAAAAGTAATTACTTTTTTATGAAATATAACAAAACATACAAAATTCAGTGTTTCAGTAGAAGATATTTAAAACCCTTTCAAAAATAGAGGTTGTGGAATATTTTACCCCAATTCAAAAAAAATGCCGGGACTCTTAATTCACAATGTAGGTGCTATACCCCCCCCCCCTTCCTCTCAAACCAGATGGTCAAATTTATGTTACATTACTGGCACGACTTTATGTCCTCCTCCTCCTCGCTCCTCTAGTTTTGATTTCACGCACTATTTTAAGAAAACTAATCTAAAGATTCTAAATATTTCTGTTCTTTTCATATTGAAAAGTTTCTTAAATTAGAGGAGTGGATAAAAAGTTATCACGTAAAATTTACTTTACTTTGACGTGAAAAGTTCAAAGTTGCAAAATTGTTTTCCTCATAGATTTGCTTTTATTATGCATTGTCATTATTTATATTTACAACGGAAAGAGTGACGAAAATGGAAAACTGTTTGGTTAGTAACATCTTTAGTCAGAATAGAATTTTGAATAATGTAATAAAAGCAAACTTGTCTGCAATAGTATATGCCTGCTGCATTTTGAATTTAGATTTACATCTCTAGGTCTTATTGAGCCTCTTTAAAGTCTAAAAACTTTAAAGTTTAAAAACGATCCTCAAAACGATCCCCATCAGTGCTGACGGATCCATAGGTCAGTCATGTTATTTTTACACTTAACAATGTACATGGACACCTGTAAACCTGTTGAAAAAGTTTCTGCAATTAAACAAAGTTTCTAATTTCAAGAAAAACAAAACAATAAAATTCATGTAAACAGACATTTTCACTGAACTCGGCACTTCCTACTCTACCATTATGGTTTCAGTGCGCGGAATAGAAAAATCGTTGTGAGCGGAATTGTGCATCGTTTAGTTTCCGCGTTTAGTGTTTAGCTTCCTTCGTTTAGCTTCTATCGTTTAGCTTCTATCGTTTAGCTTCTATCGTTTAGCTTCCGTGCAAAGATTTGCGAAATAAGCAATCTAATTCGCACAAAAGTTTGCTTCTGCCGGAAACCTAACTACCATATGGAAAGAGGTATTCTAATATTTGTTTCTACTTTAGTTTGTTTTTTAAACCATATAAAAAGGTTTTACTCGAATCACATTCTTTATAACCACTTGATTTTTATTGCTATTCGGTTATAAAGTTTCTTTTGTTTTTGTATGTAAATCACTTTTATCAACTTAATTTCATTCTATTAATGTATTTTCTATTCTGTTACACCATAATTTAATCTATTATTTTTTATCACTTTCAGTTCATTTAATATTTTTACATTATATTTTATTCTATGACAATTTGTTTCATTTTATATTATTCTACAGTGAGAACAAGAAAACTGTGGAATAGGAAGACGACATTTTAACGACACTGAAGTGTATTTGAAGTTGTTACAAAGCAAATATTTTGCTTTAATTCACTTAGTTAGTAAAATTGGCCTGTTTACACTGCACACTTGCTTCATAGGACTATTTTTAAAAAAAAAGTCTAAAAGTCGTCTTCCTATTCCAGAGTTTTCTAGCTTACTGTATATAGTAAACATATTTTGTATTATGTTACGCCCTATTTTCTTTGTAATCTATTTTATTCTTTCATGTTTATGTATTCTGTTTTCCGCTATCCTCTTATTTTCTGATCGTACTCGTCATTCTTATAGTCTGTTCTTTTCTCTGACTAGTTTTAAAATAACATTTAATTTATTTTTATTATTTATATATTCAGGTACAATATAAGTATTACTCTTTACGAATACAATATTCAATTTTATTAACGAATATATATTAAATAGATTTTACTAAATTATAAATGTAGTGCCGCAACTAAAATATTTGTTTGTGGTAGGGGATGGTATCAGGAATTTAAAAAACACAATCTCAAAAGTTTTAAGTCAAGTGGGTAACAACTTAAATTTTCACCATATATGTTCATACTTTGCCATATATATTTCAATAATGAAAATCTGTGAATAATAAATAACCATTAATCTATATATAAATTTGGCTTGTCTGTTTGTTTGTTTGTTTGTTTGTTTGTATCCAATAAACGTCAAAACGGCTGAACCGATCGGGCCCAAATTTTTTGTGGGACATCTAGGGAGCCCAGGGAAGGTTTATGAAAAATCAAAATTTCAAATATTTGTCTCTATCAAAATTCGATCGTCATTAAATTTTTTAAAATTTTGAAAATCCGCGAAATTTTTTGTAAAAATCCGCAAATTATTTTTGTTTAGTTTTACGATGTACACAAAGAGAACATGTTTACAATTAATTTAGAAGATGGGCGCGAAGCGCCCTCTAAGGCTAGAAAGAAGGGCGCGAAGCGCCTTGAATTTCTAGTATATATATATATTTTAATCATTATTTATTATTACTCATTTACAGAACTTATGAAAGGAAACTTTTTGTTCGTTAAGTTTACTAAAGGTTGAAGCACAATTAAAAATAGATTATTTAAACAAAAGAAATTGTCAAAGAACATTCTTTTCCACATTTCCTGACTATTATTTACATCCTTTATATATTCATTACAATAAATATATTTTCTTTTAACAATGTAGACAACAATAATAAGCAAAGTTATAGCTTTCATAGTTTAAATATTATTTCCCGTTTTAAGCAAAGAAAAATCATGTTTACATTAATTAATTACGAAGAAGTGACGGAAAAGAACTATGTGTGCATTAAAGCTGCTTTTTAAAAAATCAAATAATTTTAGAGTTTGTTTTACTACAAAGACAAATTCACATTATATTTAAAAATGCAGTTTTCAAAATATAAGATTATTAAATCGGACTAATTCTTTACCTTTAAAATGTCCCTCATACAATACGTGTATATACTTTATATGTAGATAAAAATACAAGTTTTCTGTCAACTGAAAACTAAATTATTTAAATGCATTTCCAACATTTGGAAAACACTACTGTTCTTTAAAAAAAAATCAGGATGTAAAAATAGGATATTTTTAAATCCATTTAATTCGATAGTTTTAAAAAACTAATTTTACTTTTTGAAACTTAGCTCATATGAAATATAAGAATATAAAACAGAATAAAAAAAAGTAAAAAAGTGTTGTAACAAGTTAAGACATTTTATGAACTTTGTAGAACAGCAATGTATTCACTTCATTTTTTGATCGCCTGAAGGAAGTACAAATTATTCAAAATAAACATTTTACAAACAATCCTTTTCTTTACATCATATTCTGACAATTTGCTTGATTCGAACTCATGAGAGATATTTTCCTTGCATTGAAAGTTATCCACTATTCTAATTTTTTAAAAACTTTTTTTACAATTTTGTTTAAGTTGAAGGAACCACAAATAAGACAATTAATTATCTAAAAAGTGGACATATAATCTTTTTCCCAAAACATGCATTATCTATAAAATAAAGGTCTTCGCTCATATGTATATATATATATGTTAGCTCAAGCTTGCCAAACGGCTGAACGAATTTGGCTGCAATTTTTTATGGGAACCCATGGGTTCGATTTTGTATTATTTCACGGGCAACGCCACGCCGTGCACTTCAGTCAGTTGAAGGAGGGTATGTTTTTCATATTGTACTTCGAGTTTCATCAGGAGTACATTTGATTTTGTACTTCCAGTTTCATTAGGAGTACATTCTTAGATTATACTCCGAGTTTCAGAAGGAGTACATTCTTAGATTATACTCCGAGTTTCATTAGGAGTACATTCTTAGATTTTACTTCGAGTTTCATAAGGAGTACATTCTTAGATTATACTTCGAGTTTCATTAGGAGTACATTCTTAGATTATACTTCGAGTTTCATTAGGAGTATACATTCTTAGATTATACTTCGAGTTTCATTAGGAGTACATTCTTAGATTATACTCCGAGTTTCATTAGGAATACATTTTTAAAATGTAATTCGAGTTTATTATAAAGTACATGTCTAGATTGTACTTCGAGTTTTATAAGGAGTACATATTTAATGAATTGTACTCTTAGTTTTATATGGAGTACATTTGTGGATTGTATTTGGAATTAAATAAGGAGTACATATTCGAATTGTTCTCCGAGTTTTATCAAATGTTAGGTGGACTCCGAGGTTTATAAGGAGTACATGTCGGGTTGTTTGTATTTCCTAGATTTATAAGGAGTAAATATTTGATTGATTGTACACTCCTAGTTTTATAAGGAGGACATATTCGGTGGATTGTATTCTGAGTATTCCACAGTGTTGGTTCTATGATCTAGTACAATGTACCCGGGGGGTTGATAACTACTCCTGCCAACATCATTCGGACCTTAACGAAACATTACCTAAGTATATTTTGCTAAAAGATATATGGGTCCTTCAAATAAACTATTGTCTTTAAATTTTATCAAAACAATGAAGACGACTTTTTATGCAAGTTTTGATTGTTTACAAGCTTTCAGTAAATTACAAATTTAAAAAGCAATCCAAGAGAAGCTTTCTTTAATCAACAGCTTCTTTATGTTTCCATGTTTATGTGTGTATCCAATATCCATATAATTGAAAAATTAAAAAGGAAAGTTGTTTTATTAAAATAGTAAATATTTAGGGCTTCATCACAAATCCTCTGCTTTCATTCATAAATACTGTTAAAGTCAAAATAAAAACCAAAATTCGTCTTCATTCTATTAATATAAAATAGGACATTTAACTTTTTCTATATTTTTTGATTAATAGTATTGATGAGCCAACAATAAGATATATATCTGAATATTTTTGGAATATGGTTTATTTGTAAACCATGAAAAGATTTTTTCCAACAGAATTTTCACGAAAAACATTAGTTCAAAAAAATTTCTAATTAAAAAATTAAGTTTTATCAGAACTATAAACATTGAAAACAGGTTCATAAAACTAGACATTGAGCCAGAATCAATTCGGTTTAACAAGAAATATCTCTAGATATAGGACTGATGACTAACCTGAAATATCTCTAAACCTATCTCAAGGTTTAGGTGAGGACTGATTTCTAACCTGAACTAAATCTAAACCCATCTCTACGAAATTGGAGAGGACTGATCACTAACCTGAAATTTCACTAAACCTATCTTTAAGTATAGGAGTGGCCTGATTACTAATCCGAAATATTTCTTAAACTATTTATAGGCATAGAAGAAAACTGATTTCTAACCTGAAATATCTCTAAACCTATCTCCAGGTATAGGAGTGGACTGATTACTAACCTGAAATATCTCTAAACCTATCTCCAGGTATAGGCGAGGACTGATTACTAACCTGAAATATCTCTGAACCTATCTCCAGGTATAAGTGGAAGTGTTTCATGTCTGAGGATTGTATTGAACATCCCATCTAAGCAATAAATTATAGAATTTTAAAAAAATTTAATGTTTTTTTGCTAGTTTACCTAAAGTATTATTCATAGGGGAGTAGGATGTACTATTCTGGTCTTCTCGATCTCTTCCAGTCTTAGAACCTCTTAAAAATGGAAAAATTTATTTTTTAAACAAAGAATGAACTTTAACTGAATATTGATTTATTAACCTGTCCCCCGACCTAGAATCTGATCTGTACCTTTTTACCCATAAACCTAGAACTAGAACTTTAGAACTGGAATTAGAGCTAGAACTAGAACTAGAACTAGAACTACTAGAACTAGAACTAGAACTAGAACTAGAACTAGAACTAGAACTAGAACTAGAACTTGAACTAGATCTCAAGGTAGAACTGGAGCCAAAAATAGAACTAGACCTCAAGGTAGAACTTAAGCTTTAATAGAACTAGACCTCAATTTAGAACTGCAGAGCTAGAACTAGAACTAGAACTACATCTCAAGGTAAAACTGGAGCCAGAAATAGAACTAGACCTCAAGGTAGATCTGGAGCTAGAAATTTAACTAGACCTCAATTTAGAAGTGGATCTAGAACTATAACTAGAACTGGATCTCAAGGTAGACATGGATCAGGAAATAGAACTAAATCTCAAAGTAGAACTGGAGCTAGAACTATAACTAGAACTATATCTCAAGGTATAACTGGAGCTAGAACTAAAACTAGAACTAAATCTCAAGGTAGACCTGGAGCAGGAAACAGAAGTTAATCTCAAGGTAGAACTGGAGCTATAACTACAGCTAGAACTATATCTCAAGGTATAACTGGAGCTAGAACTAGACCTTTAACTATATCTTAAGGTAGAGAACAAGAGCTAAAACTACAACTCGACTCAGACCTTGGCCTAGACCCTGAGGTAGACCTAGACCTAAGACATATAGTACACATGTATACCAATAAAACTATAACCTAAGGTATACCCATACACCTAGACCTGGACCAAAACCTAGACGCTTATGGTATACCCTTCCAGTTACACCTAGACCTAGACACAGACCTAGTACTAATACTACTAAACCTAGTCCTAGACCTAAACCTAATCCTAGATTTAAACCTACACCTAGACCTAAACCTAGTCCTAGACCTAAACCTAATCCTAGATTTAAACCTACACCTAGACCTAAACCTACTCCTGAACCTAAACCTACCTGACTCCTGGAACCATCTCTAAAGAGTCTGTTCTCTCAATTTGAACTGAAGCTAAAGGAACATCAATGCAGGGACTGATGAGTCGAGGATTGTTTGAAAGTAACTCCACTGTAAATCACATTAAACAAGTTGTAAATTCAGCTTATAAAAAAATCAAACAAATTCTATTGATGAAATGACAAAAACGGGTTACCATTAATACCTTTATATCTTTTATGTATTTTATTTTTTCTCAGTTTTACGTATGTTTAGCGCAGCAGCAAGATTTTATTTGATTACATGGGTTCTAAAAATATTGCTAGATATAGATATTGCTTGAATTGTGTAAATGGATGGTTTTTGTTGGTAGAGGCCGAGGGATATAATTTTTAGAATATATTCACAAAATTTCTAAAAAGTAATTCTATTTAGAACCACACACTCTAGACACATCTTCATTGCTCCCCTTGTTCTAGAAAAATTATGTATTTTTAACATTTTTTTGGAAGCTCTCACAAAAAGTTGTAAACATTTTTTTTCATACAAAAGTTTTAAAAACAAATTTAAAAACTTAGAACCTTATCTTTCTATGAAAGTTTTTTAATAATATTTACAGATAAAACTTTCAGATATAAATTTCTTGAAAATTATAAAAGAAAGTTTTATAATTCACAAAATGTTAAGTTTAGACATTTTTTTGGCGCCTTTACAAATAACTTCATTAAAATTATTAGATACATTGTCTTAAGTTTTTAGATCAAGATTTCTCTTGCTAAGTTTTTTTTATAAAATTATATTTATAAGATAAAAATTTCTTTGTTCATACATTTATTCTGATTTGAGTACGTTTGGTAAGCAAAGAGTTTTGTATATAATATATATGATTTATGTAGATTGTACATAGATTTAGTTATTAAACAGAGAGAACCCAACTGTATTAAATTACGTTTGTAACATTGTAAAACTTTGTAAAATTACTGGAACGGTTTAGTGACCTCGTAGCTCTTTTTGTTTTTATTTTAGGCAAACAGTATGAGAAGAACTAATTTCACACTGCAAATTAGATATTTTAAACTTTGTTCTTCAAAAATATGAGTTATTATTGAAAACGTGCAATATTTAGATTCAATGTAGATTTTATTTTAATTGGCCCTGATATTAAGAATTTAATCAAGTTTTTTTAGGTTTTTGGCCGAAATTTATAAAATAAATATTGTGTTAACTCTTAGATAATACATGTAATGTGACCCACCCTGTAAAGTATATATTATATAATGCATGGTAAGTATATAGGGTATATAGTATACGCTATAAATATTAAAGAACAATCCTTCATTTCCCATCATATTCTACTATATATGTATATACGGATTTATTGAATATAAATCCTAGATTCTATAGTGTATCTAGGATATACATGTATGTTCCATATATTCTTTATACAGTAGTTATACAGGTTAAAAAATTGTTTAACAAGAGAGCAAAATAAAGTTAATATCCTCTCTTTGAAAAAATAAAACTGTTTAAAGGGACTGTAAAGGTAGTTTCAAGTGATCCTCCATTTATATCATGGCATGTCAGATTACCCTGGAATTTTTATTGAAAAGACGACATTGAAGAATATGGAAAAATCTGCGAACAAATTCACAAAGAATAAGAAATTCAATATAATAAAGAAAAAGAAATAATTAATTCTAACAATTATTCATTGGAAAAATTACTATAAAATTTGTTTTACATTTTTTCGTCGTTATTTGATAATTTAAAAAAATCGATTCTTTAAACGTAAACATCCAAATGGATGATTTTGAACGTCGACTTTGCGCTCAAACTTAGAAATTATACATCTCAAATGAATCCTAAAAAATTTCTCCACAATACTACATTCTCAGTTCAACTACTTTGCATTACCGGTCACTCCCTTTTTAGAATTGAAAAATGGATTTGATGTTTATTATTAATGTGATTTATCCCTATTTCTCCCGCAGTTGGTCTCTTTGTTGGTGTGGAGTTCCAGCAACTAGATAACAGGCTTCCCCTAGATATAGGTCTTTGCTAGCTCAAGTATTAGAAATATCTTAAATACACAATAAGATCTGAGAAAACAAAGGAATTGAGTTTCCCACAAACTCTGATTTTCTAATCCAAATATCTTTGCAACCCAATGTTGTAAACCTTAGATATTTCAAACTATGAATTTTGATAATGAATTTGAAACATCCAAAGCTTGCACAATCCGGTTGCAGAGATAATGGGATCAGAAAATATGAGTTTGTGGCAAAACTTTAATTTCTTTACAGAAGAACAATTCTAATACTTTGGTTTTTTAAAGATTTTTTTTACTTTTATCTTATATTGGTGAGGAACGCATAGAAAGGCAAGAAAAATGTTTCAAATAAAATAAAATAATCTCTTTCCTTGTTCTTTTCAAATATTAAAAGCAATGAAGATTTTCTATGAAAATTGACAACAGAAGTTCAAATAAAAAGAAGATGACATATCTATATGTTTATGAAAGAAAATGAAATAAAATTATGCAAAGAAAGTGATACATCTAACAATGCATTAAACAAATTATAAAAGAAATTTAATTTCTTGGACATAAAAATAGGTTTTAAATATTCTTGATAAAGTTTTCTATGCAAATGATGAAAAATTTTCTTTAGCTAATCTTGATTTAATTCTTTATGCTAATCATGAAAAGTTCATTTTTTTGATAAGAAAATATATTCTAAAGAGATATTTCACACATTTATGAAAACTATTTCAAGAATAAGGAAACTTTGATGAAGATCTATAGAACTCTTTAAATACAAAAATTAAGGTTTCAGATAAACTGGTATTTCTAGATTTCTTTATTGTCATTAAAATTTACTGTTTTATGATAATATAAAATGAATAAGATTTACTTACAGTTGTTGTTTAATTCCTGAGGGAATATTTAGTGTACTGCCAGATTTAACCTGCTCCAGAACTTGGTTGTTCGAAAGACCCTGCAGTACAGTACAATTTTAAACATTGCAGTACATATTTATACTAGGTGTAGGATAGACCCTTCAGTACAACATTGTTGTACAATGTACATAATCGGACTAGTTCAACTATGGACCAAGCAGTACAGTACAATTTAGACCTTGCAGTACAGACTATATCATGAATTTCGGTACATATTCATCCATTATTTATTAATTTTCCTATGAATTTTTAATATAAAAATTGTTATGGCAATGGTTTGACATGGTTTAAAAATGAATTTGTTACAAAAATCTCAAATGTCCCCTAAAGCTGGCTTAGCGTCTGGACGGAATTGGCTGAAATTTTGTTGGAGGGTAACACAGGCTAAAAAAATATAATTTTTTTTCTTTCAAAAATCGATTTTTCTAACGATATTTTTTAATATTTGATTTTTTTAAAATAAGTAATAAAATAAATGAAGATTAGATAAATTGATTGAAAAAACTGTTTATTCACCTGAAAAGGAAAGCTTCCAAAAGTAATTATCTCGTAGAGAAGAACTCCGTAACTCCAAATATCTGACATTGGAGTAAACATTCCATCCGCTAAACTTTCAGGAGACATCCACCTTACGGGCAACATTCCTTAATACAATTCATTTCTGGAGACATCCACCGTACGGGCAACATTTCTTAATACAATTCATTTCAGGAGACATCCACCGTACGGGCAACATTACTTAACACAATTCATTTCAGGAGACATCCACCTTACGGGCAACATTTCTAAATACAATTCATTTCAGGAGATATCCACCGTACGGGCAACATTTCTTAATACAATTCATTTCAGGAGACATCCACCGTACGGGCAACATTACTTAACACAATTCATTTTAGGAGACATCCACCTTAGGGGCAACATTCTTTAATACAATTCATTTCAGGAGACATCCACCTTACGGGCAACATTCTTTAATACAATTCATTTCAGGAGACATCCACCGTACGGGCAACATTCCTTAACACAATTCATTTCAGGAGACATCCACCTTACGGGCAACATTCCTTTATACAATTCATTTCAGGAGACATCCACCGTACGGGCAACATTACTTAACACAATTCATTTCAGGAACTGTCAGCGTAATTTAAATTACCCCCAAAGATGGCAATATCCGTATACAACAATAACATTATAAGCTTTGTCGATTTGTCTGATCAAATATGAATTAGAAATAGATGTTTTTCTTCGTATAAAGTGTTTAATTTTATATGTGCAAAAGTGTGCGTTTCTTGCTTATTAGAAACAATGCAGAAATTCACAGAAATACACGCTTTCCGAGTAAGAAAAACTCAGTTTTGAAACTATATTTTCATATATGACGTATCATTATCAATATTTGAGGTGTAATGGGTAATGGTTAATGGTTAAGGTGCAGTAATGATGATGGAAATAATATGAGTTTTTAAATTATTAAACGGAAAAAAGTTGTATCCGTACCTGTCAATAAATAAGATAAAATTGATCCATTGAAACTGCCCATGTTCATTGGACTATTCAAAACCATATTCATATTCATAGTCAAACAGTCTACTTCCTATTCTACAGGTTTATGTATCCTTCCGTACAATTTAGACTCGGTCTACTTCCTATTCTACAGGTTTATCGATCCTTCTTAACAATTTAGACTCGGTCTACTTCCTATTCTACAGATTTATGAGTTCTTCTGTACAATTTAGACTCAGTCTACTTCCTATTCTACAGGTTTATGGATCCTTCTGTACAATTTAGACTCAGTCATCTTCCTATTCTATAGGATTATGAGTCCCATTGTACAATTTAGACTTAGTCTACTTCCTATTCTACAGGCTTATGAGTCCCACTGTACAATCTAGACTCGGTCTAATTCCTATTCAAAAGGTTTATGGGTCCCACTGTACAATTTAGACTCAGTCATCTTCCTATTCTATAGGATTATGAGTCCCATTGTACAATTTAGACTCAGTCTACTTCCTATTCTACAGGTTTATGAGTCCCAATGTACAATTTAGACTCAGTCTACTTCCTATTCTACAGGTTTATGGGTCCCATTGTACAATTTAGACTCAGTCATCTTCCTATTCTACAGGATTATGGGTCCCACTGTACAATTTAGACTCAATCTTCCTCCCATGCTATAAGCTTAACGGAATTATAACTCCAACCCCGAAGTAGTTATGATTGTTATTGCTGTCAGTATTGTCAGTCCAAAAATAAAAGAATTGTTTTCCTAAATCCTCTGTAAACATCTCTATCGGCTCAAAAACCAAGATACAGGGGTAAATACTTTTCCTAGTCAATGTTTAAGGGTTCCATTCGCTGAACTGGAAGGGAAATAAGTAACGAAAGATTAAAAAATTGTCTTTTTGATGTCCAATTTTTTATTATTTCTTTCCCAGAGCATCAAAAAGTACCCCCTCCCCCCCGCTGAAAATGTATACTACTTCCAAGAGCAATATAAAATATTAACATAAAGATGGAGAAAATATATTTTATTTCTTCTTCTTTCGAAAAAATGTCCTTGTTCTTGTTAAAAAAAACATTCATCTTCTTTAATATTTACCACGGGAAACATTTTATTAGAGGGACTGTAAAGGAAAAATGAACGGGGGTACAGACTGAAACCTGAGCATCTCAGGAGTTGATTGAGACCTATAAGAGTTCTATCTGATGTTCTTGTCTCGAGAAATTGATATAAAACTGTGTCAAAATTATACCTAAACGTGCATATGTAAGATTTTGTATAAGATTCGTAGTATTAAACAGATCATATTTAACAAATACACAACCAATATGAAAACGACAATATCCCAGAGGAGCCTGAGAAACTCAGGTTTGCTCCTATCATTATTTTAATTTAATAATTTTTCATTCTTAATAGATATAATTGATAATATTATTTACACGTCCGGATCATTGGACCAGAACTCCAGCCAATGACAGTGCAGTATTATTGTCACATGTCTGTCTGTATCACGTGACCAGTATACTACATTGCTATTGGAGGGAGTTCCGGTCACGTGATACGGACGCATATCTTACGTACAGAGCGTCCCATATTAAATTAGATTATCTCCAATCTTAAACGTCAAACTACGCAAATGATACTCGAGAAATCTAGCATTTATTTGCAAAAAAATGTCTATTAGCCTTATCAAATTTTCAAAATAATTAATTCTTCTTAAATTTTCTGATTTGTCCCACAAATCGTAGTTTAGACCCATTGACGCGGTCTAATTTTATGTGGGACACCCTGTATATACATTTTTGTATAATTTTGAAACAGTTTTATGTCAATTTATAGGTCTCGATCAACTCCTGAGATTCTTAGGTTCAGCCTATACCTCTTTTTATTCTTCCTTTACAGTCCCTTTAATCTTAAAATTTTTCACTCCTAACGCATTAAAACTTAATTCAAGGTAACCTAAGAATACATAACCAAAAGTTTTTCAAGATTTGCGACTTTCATGAATAGCTTAAGGCATGGTGCATCAAAAAAAAAAATGAAAACCCCTGCGTCAAACACGTCAATCATATGACTATCTGTCTTGGTATTATTATCCACTGATTACATTTATTCTTTTTAGACAAATACTTATTAATGATTAAAATGAAGATTATAATATTTTTTAAAACATGAACTTCCATAAAATCTCGGATTAAGACTAAAATTAGAATAATCTATTCTAAAAATTGACTCCATCTTATCGTTAAATCCCTCATTGTAAATAAAAGCTAGGAATAGGAAGGGGCTACTTATTCCTATAAAATCTGGTAAGTTTCTTACATAAAGATTATACAGTTGAACTGCAAGGGACAACTCTCCAGAGAGCTATAAGATAAGAGATGGGCACCTCAGGCTTTTTTTCATTTTGTTCGTTTATTGATTTTGAACAACTTATTTCGTTCGTTTTTTCAATTGTTAAAAAAATGATTTCGTTTGTTCTCAAAATTTTCGTTCATTTTCCATCTATTTTGATCGTTTTCGCACTGAACGATCGTTCAGTAAAATCGTTCGTTCAACAAAATCGTTCTTTCAGAAAAAAAACCCGATAGCTTTGTGCAAACATTTATTTAAAAATCGTTCGTTCTGTAAAAAATAGTTTTTCAAAATCTTTCGGGAAATTCGTTTGTTTTTTCAAGTTAGTTCGATTTAAAATCGTTCGTTTTTATTTTTTCGTTTGTTTTTCATTTCTTTGAACGATCCAAGTCGTTCATATATCCCTTTTTTCTGAACGACAACATTGTTTACGAAAATGTTTTATTTGTTCACAAACACGATGCTCATATCTATATAAATAAATCTTGTTATATTACATCTAGACAATATTTATGTATTCTAAACTACCAGGGGGCAAAACGCACCTCTTTTTAGATCTTTACAGGGTTTATCTTTTCATTCAGGAACCGAATTAAAAGAGTTTGAGCTAGGTCACTGAACTACTTACTGCCTGTTTAAATATGAACCACCCATTTAAAATCAATGATAAAGGAAGGATTTGAATCAGTGATTTAAATTTGAACCGGCGGCAGTTCAAATTCAATAAATTCGGTCCAAGATGTATGTATTAAATTACTTCCTTTTATTCTTATTCCTACAGAACAGTGGAAATTAGTTCAAAATCTAACACTTAGTGTTAGAAATGGGCCAAATCTGCAAAGTTATCTTTTTCAAGCGTATATATCTTTAAATCGAGTTAAACAAAACTACATACACCATACATTTATAAGAAATGGCTAAAACTATTTATTAAAACCAGAAATGCCATTTGTGAGAATTAGTTTTGATGATTCTTGTTTTCGTTTTCGAACATATCCCTATTTGAGACTATTATACTCGAATTCATATCAATGTTAATTTTCAAGTATTTTCGCATTTACGTCACAAAACAATTGATTTTTAATAAGGTAGAATATTAACAAAATAGAAAATAAAAACATACTGTTCCTTTGTAATTTAAAAAACATTACAGCATTGAGAAATCAAAATATTAATATCATTTTGTTCTAACAATATAGATTAAACTAGAAATGCGGGAAATTGATTGTTTAAAATGCAAGAAACTAAATCAATTTTATTCTCTTAATTAACAAATAAGATGTGAAAATCAGTTAATTTAGGCTTTATGAGATAATCTTTACTTTCAGTGACTTATTTTGTAAGTCATGAAAATTATTTTTTTTAAAATTGCGGATCGAAAACGCGACAATGATTAAAATTTAGGATATATTCGAAAATGAAAAACCTGACATTGAAAACGGTCAAGGGTTTTAATATAAGAAGAACTCCTTTTATAATTTCGAAGTAAGAAAATAGTTTAAAATTCGGAATTGTTGTCCTTGTCATGCTTAATAAAAAGTTGGTAATACTCTCAATATGGGTCAGGATCCTAAAACCCTAGTCTATCAATTTGTGCCTAATTTTAACACTTTGAAATGGGCCAAGTATTAGTTTTGGAACTAATGCCCCCTGCAGTATGAATTGTGTATATTAAGTATACAGAATATGGACAGGCATGAGAATTGGAAATAAGTGGACCGGTATGGATACAAAGTGTGGATTGAAATTGTTTTTGAACATACTGCAAAAACACAATACAATCATTTAGTTAGAATATTTGAAACTAGCACGGAAACCCAGCTTTGTCTGAAAACTAAACTTTCCCTATTAACGTCAACTTAAAGCCAAGCTAAAAACATTAACGTGGTTCTACTGATCTATAAAGATTGATACAAAAACATGAGAAGATTTATAATACAAGTTGTCGCATTTAAAGGAATCAACAATTTAAGCGTGATTTCAAGTAACCCTCAATTCAACGGAATCCTTGAAACCTTTATCTGATTAATTATTTGGAAGATATTGTCGTTTCTCTAGGTTTTTAAGTGTTTAATTCTGATAATTCCAATATTATTTCCTGCAGTAGAATGCATAAGTCACTTTTGTAAAGAACCGGCCCACAATCGACAATCATAAACATCAAAATCTAACTCATACTTGATTATTCGCTCTTTTCAATAAAGTTTTTAAAAATGATATTTTTAAAAAATTACCTCTTCTACTGAATTTATAATAATCATGTTCAAACATTGCTCTAGTCATTCCAAAATCAGCCAACTTTACAGTTCTAAAATAGAATTAGAAGTTTAAGAATTTTAAGCAGTTTTACACAAAGTGCTTAATACGAATAATATAAATATAATTTTAGGCCTTATAAAATGTTGAAATATATAAACTTTAATACAAACAAAATTGTTTGGTTGCATATAAAGGTATGTTTATAAACAAGCAAGATTTTAGCTTGGAATTAAAATAATAATAATAATAATAATAATAATAATAATAATAGAATTATATTTCTTTTAAACATCAAAAAATTAAATTAAAAGAATGAATTATTTTTTCGTACGTCTTTTTGTTTTTATCTTATAGGTATATAATTAAGTTTATTTGGAATAAACTTAATCAAAATGCTTTCATCCGAAGATCAATCTTGATATTTTGAACAAGCTAGATAACGAAATTAGAAATTAATATTATTTTTAGTTAGCACGAAACTAAGAAATTGATGTTTTATATTTCATCCATACTCCATCTATCCTGTACTGTGCACTGTCTAGTTGTACGGGGGGGGGGGGAATACTCTTTTAGGCCTGAAAACCCCCTGCAAACCATAGATTAAACAAATCCAGGGTGTGCCTGAGCCCCCCATAGCCCCCCCCCCCCATCCGAGCATGCTTCTGGTGACCTTTTCTATAGAGTGGAATGCAGAACATCAAATTACAAAAAATTTATTTACAAAATCCCGAATAATTTAGTTACTTTTTGGGAACATGTAAATGCCAAGAAAAGTTACCTTCGGGCAAAAACAAATTCGGGCAAAATGTCAGGCATTTGTTATTCGATCTTTATTCCTTCATTCATTTCCTTCCATATTCAGGTCGTTAACGAGTTGTTACCTGTTCTGTTGTTAATAATTAAATACTTTGTTCATTTCCTCCTGTCTCGTTCGTTAACGAGTTGTTATCTGTTCTGTTGTAACCGATTAAATACTTCGTTCATTTCCTCCTGCCTCGTTCGTTAACGAGTTGTTACCTGTTCTGTTGTTAATAATTAAATACTTTGTTCATTTCCTCCTGTCTCGTTCGTTAACGAGCTGTTACCTGATCTGTACTTCTCTTCCAACCCGGTGCTTTTATAACGAGCTCTTACTTCAAACAATAAGAACTAGAAAACTCTGGAAGACAAAGACGACTTTTAGACTCAAGTAATGACTTTAAAAAGTCCAGTTAATAAGAGACACAGTGTAAACAGACCTATTTCACTTGAAAAGTGATTAATGTATTGATTTAATGTCGTCTTCCTATTCCATAGCTTTCTGGTTCTAATTGTACTTTATTTTGTCCATATTCCCTCCTATTCCTCTCGACAACGAGTTGCTACAAATTCAAAACTTCGATCGTCTTGAAACTGCTTTTTCCGTCACCTGTTCGAAACCTCGTCCATTTCCTCCCTATTCCTCTCGTTAACAAGATGCCTACGGGCTAGGAGGTAGGTCTTGAGGTCCCCGTACAACATGTACTCCATCACCGTGTAAACAGGTTCATTTCGTGTACATACACCCAGCAGCTTTACAACATTCTACAAATCACATGTTTAGATAAAGTAATTTATGTCAGTTCAATAAACCAAATGAATATGAAATTAATTTTTATACTTTCTCAAGTCACAATTTCCCAAGGACATTTACCATTCACTTTCAACTCCCAATGTAGAAATTTGCCTAGTAGGCAACTTGCCAAGTGTAAATTTTCTTTGTAGTACTTTATCAAATATTAAACCTGAGGCGCTCACGTAGCGTTCCTTCAGTATTCTAGACGAAGGGCAACGCTTAACCAATGGCTATGCCGGCGCANGTGGAATCATACGATACTATACTTGTTAGCGTAATAAATTTCCTTTTCTCTCACCTTGTGGTCAAATCTTTTCATCATTTCCGCCTCACTGAGAAAATCAACTTTTTCCTCGATTGAGCTGCCAACCTTCAGGGTCTTCACAGCTACAGCAACCTTCACAAAAGTATAGATTTACTACCTTCAGATACTTAGCTAAAACATACTGATTAAAGGGAGTGTTTACCAAAAATGAAAATGGCTGTAGGATGATCCAAATATTAGACTAAGGAATTTATTCTTTGCCACAAACTTAAATTGATCAAATCCTTATTTCTTTGTACCTGATGGTGTAAACCTTTGATATTTCATACATAGATCTTTTATCATAACAGAATTCATAGTTTGAAATATCTTGGGCCGGGGACCGTGAAATATAAAATATCCTAAAGCCGCATTTAAAGAATTTAAGCCGTGGCTTAAATTTAAGCCCTCAAATATGGTTGGTTCCACTTAAAATTGTATTCAATTTTTCAAGATTTTAGCTGGCACTCAATTGAAACCGGTTTTGGGAGGATTTGAGACGCGGTTTAAATTCATTAAATTCGGACACTGCACTCTTATTTAAGTCTTTAATAACCCTAATTTAAGTTAGCTTTTGGTGTACATATAGATGTAGGAACAGTTTTGCCATACTGTCAAAGCATGAAACAAATTCATTAGGGTCCCATGGGGAGGGGGTAAGGTTGGCTGAAGGGAGAAATTCTTGCCCCACCCCCCAGCAAGCTGGTTTTGTCTATAATACTATAATACATGATCTATTGTCTATAAAAAATATTTTAATAATAACAATATAATTCAAACTTTTAGATTAATTGCAATTATTCTTAAAGAATTGTATTATTAAATGTTAAATATACAGAGTATATTTAGTATTTGAATAAAAGTAATCATACAGGGTTTACCCAGAAAGGATGATACATCAAAGGCGACAGTTTTATATTTAAATGAAAGAAAGCTTAAATTTCTTTTTCAAAAGATAAATATTTAGATAATAAATTTGAGACAGAAACCCAAAATAAACATCAAGAACGTCATATTTAAATAGATTTGGGTGTTGTAATTAAAGTCCAATCCTTTGTGTGTAACCCTGTAAGAAAGAGTAAAAAGCTTATTATGAATGATTGTAAGCTGCACTGTAACTAAGAGGTTTCTTTTTCTTTTGAAATATTTTTTTTACAATATCTAAGAATGCTAGGCCATGAAGCTTTGCAGCTTTAAATGCATTTATTCATCTAGCGGTTTGGGCAGAAATAGTTATATTCTATTCTATTCTTGTGTTGTTTACCGCAATATAATAGTTTATATACAGGGTTTGCCACAAAAGATGAGACTTTTTAATATTTAGAGATGAACTCTTTTAATACGACATGCATCTAAACGTTGAATTTGAAGTTTTAGAATAAAAAGGAAATAATCTGCTGAAGATATGTAGAAGTAAGTTTTTCAGTGGAAACATTTTAGTATATTCATGTTAGACATAAGACTGAATAGATTTTGTAATTTGTCTCATCTTTTGTGGTTAACTCTGTATCTATTAAAGTTGATAGATACATTATAACAATAGTGTTTGACTATAGCTACAAACAATAGAACTGAACTTTTATTTTCTAATTCCTGAACAACCTGATATCTTAGACCTTTGATATTTCATGCTGTAAATACTACTGTTGGATCAAATAGTATAAGTTTGAAATGTTAAAGGTTTACACCATCAGATTGCAAAAATATAGGGATTAGAAAAAAAGTTAGCATGGCGAGTGTTCAGTTCCTTTAAACAACATAAATATATTATAAAAGCGTTACTTTTCATGCAATTGTAAACTAACATAGGATTTAGGTCAATAAAAAATCTTTTAGGTTAAAACCTAGCCCAAATAATTTAGCTCTGAAAGATATTATTTATTCGAAATAGTCTAAAACTGAATTTTAAAAAGAGCCATTACACATCAAAAATCAAGATTAAAATCATATTCATAAAAACACTGAATCATGATTTTAGCGAACTTAACGTGAATGTCAAACATTTTAAAGTATTATTCTATTTATTTGAAGTAAAAACTTAAAATACAAATGTTCTTATATCTGAACATGAATTGATACAAAATATCTTCAACTCTATTTCCACCAGCTAAAATTGGACTTCCTCGTAAGTATTTTTAATCTAAAAAGACAGTGTTCAACCTAGCGGAATAATTTATATCTCTGTAAGGAAGTTCAGCGTATGTTTACATACCAAAGACTTTGCTAATTAAAGATAGCGCATCAGCAAAGTCTTTGTTACATACAGTGCATGGAGTACGCTGGTTAACATTCTTCTAAAAGGAATGAACGGTTGTGTGCTAAGGTAATACTTTGACAATATATCGTGAACGTACTGTCAAATGACGCTACATCCTTGCAAAACAATGTTAAACACTGTAGTACACTACATGCAGTATAATGATCGTGTACTGTATGTATACAAACGCTGAACTTCCTTTTAGGATCTAAACCATCCCACAAGGATGTTAAACTGCATTTTTAAATTAGAAATACTTACGAGGAAGTCCTGTTTTGGCTGGTGGAAATACAGTTAAAAAATGACAGTGCCTGTTAAATCTTTCATAAATTTAATCAAAAAATCTTTAAAATATATAATTATTCTTAATCGACCTGTACATTGATTAAGGCGTGCATGGTGCAAAGTGCATTTAAAATAAGAAAAAAGGGAGAAATAAAAATAACACAGATCTTACTCGTAAAAGATTGTCTTTGTGAAGATAATTTGAATCTAATTCATCACTTCTCATAGCAATATCTTTTAGAGAGGCCAGGCTCCATAGTCCAGATAGTTTTAACTAAACGCCAATATTTTCATAAATATTTAGAGATGCCGGCATGTATCGTCAATTTGGAACAAAACGGCAAATGTGTACTGTCAGTACTGAACATAAAATGAAGCATGTACAGTGTACAGTGTGCTCAACTAAACATGGAAATTGAAAGAAAGGCCAATATCAGGAGCGTAGTCCGGAATTTGTCCATGAGGGGGGGGGGTTGATTTTTCAGCACATGTTGGGTCCCAAAACCATAGATTTCATTGATCCAGGGGAATGAGCCCCCATAACCCCCCCCGCCCCCCCCCCCTGAATACAGCAATTAACAATATAAAATCAATTATATATATATGGAATCTGCTCCAATAAGACATGTCGTTTTAAAGTTTTTTATCTTTTACTCAAGATGTTGGTTTATATAAGTTTGTACATACTTCATTGGGTGTTTTTGATTGTCTACTTGTTTGTATCCAATAAACGTCAAAACGGCTGAACCGATCCGGCCCAAATTTCTTGTGCGACCTCACAAGACCCAAGGGAAGATTTATAAATTATCAAAATAAAAAAAGCCTCCAACAAATTTCAATTTCCTAAAATGTTTAAAATCCACGAATTTTTTTTGGGATAAAATCCAAGAAGTTATTCTGTTTTTGTTTACAGTAGAACAGATTTACAATACAAATAGAAGATGGGCGCGAAGCGCTCTGAAAACCTTGTAAGTTTATATTATTTAAACATTGTATTTCATTATGATATTCAATGAGTCAGTTAGTAGTTTAAGATATATTTGAACTACAAGTACAACCTAATAAATCATGCAATACTTGTTAATCTAATCTTTGTATGAGCCACAAAAAGTCTTATATATAATGTAGAGTAGTAGTGGGCATATATATTAATACGTCATAAATTAATGATGACAACTTTCTCTTTAAATTTAAGCAAACAATTATATTACTTTAAAAATATCGCTTACTTTCCCTTTTCAAATAACGCTTTTGTTTCCATGTTTACTTGTCTCAGCTGAATGAAAGATTGCTGAATAGAAAGTCGTCATTCCTGATACATCATGTTTTAATATACAGGGTGTTCCACGAAACATGACAGTTGCAAGACGATTTGAAGCCAGTTATTCATTTTTGATTTAATTCTTAAAACCTTAATAAATCAACACAATATTTATTAAAAAATTGATCAATTATTGTTTAAAAAAAACACTCCAATTTTTAGAAAGGAATACGCAAAACGAGATTTTTGTTCGAAAAAAATTAAATTTTCTGGATTTGAGGGGGCATTTTATAAGTAATAAAATAAGCTTAATTATATTTGAAATTCTTATTGTAATTTAACAATCTGTTTAAACATTAATTTTTAAAACTTTTTTTCACAAAATCTCTTCTGTGTATTTATTCTTGTAATAATAATAGTTCACCAGATAATTTATCTCTAGAACTTTATTAAAGTCATATTTTCTAAAGAATGTGACGCAACTCATATCTTCATATTTCCAAAAATAAATTTCCGATAATTGACTTTCTTTTATTTCAAAAATAGTCCAGTTATATATTTTTATAAATCCCATGCATGCAGTCCCTTGACGGTTAGTAATAAAACAGTTAGTCAAATTTTACTAAACTATATAAATGCAGATAAATGTGAATATCTTAGATATGGTAAATTTCAGGTTTCAGAGTTCAGAATTATTTGAGATTTATGTAAAAACTAAAGTCTGTCCTAAAGATCGATTTTTGGACCCCCCTCCTCCCCTCCTATCAATTTTGCACATTTACTTTTTATTATTGAGGGTTATGTTAGGTTAAGACAATTTCTGGGCCGAGCGCTGCGGCTAGGACAGACTAGGGGGCCGAGCGCCGCGGCTAGGACAGGCTAGGGGGCCGGCGCTGCGGCCACATGATCAATTTTACAAAATAAAGGAAATTACCAAAAACTATTTTAGGTTTCTAAAGTAAGATTTCTACTTCAGCAACAAATTATTTCTTTTTGTTTTCCTTATTTTCTGATGAAGGTCGTCATGGAAAATTATTCTCAAATGAACTTTTCTGAACTTCTCAAAGTTTCCCACTTTTATATTAACTTCAACTTTTTACAGACCCATTTAAAGTCAGTACTTTAATTTTCATAAAGTGTTTAGATACAGCAAAAATGTCAATGGGGGGAACTATAGAATTGTGTACTTAAAATAGATAGTAGTTTTTTTCTTTGTCTAGATTTTCACATGAAAAGAATTAGAATGATTAAGTCAATACTTTCATTGTCCTCAAACATTTACACTACTTTAAATTCAATGATTTTTTTATATGCTTTAATGTTCATTAAACTAAACGATCCCCCGAAAATTAAGCATTCATTTTAAACGAGAAAATTGTATTTAAATTCAAAATTTATTCTGTTGTTTTTCTGCATGAACAAAAACAAGTTTAGACAAATCATTTTTCTTTTATCTAAACTGTCCAAACCCTGAAACCTGAAAGGCAACCAAGAGAATAAAAAATGTGGGATCAGAGATAGATAGATAGATATCAAATGCTCACAAAAACAATCTTTGCTCTAGAAGATGGGATAATGGGAAAGTACACAATGTACTCAATAAACTCACCCATTCTTTCTCATCAAAATACGCCTCTCCCCCATACACTGTACCAAAAGCTCCCTCGCCTAGTTTCCTGAATAACATAGTTTTTAAAATTCAAGATTATATAAACATTTCGCAAATTTTAGATTCATTTTTTTTTACATGAAGCGAATTTATCAGAGATCGTTGCTTTTTTCCATTTAGAAAAAAACATTTTGGCGAAAATCTAGAAAAAAATCCGATCCCGAAGCTCTAAAGAAGCACATTGCATTTTTCCAGTAAATATCTCTTTATGAAATGAAATGAAATGAATAATTAAAAGATACCGGATTTGTTCTTAATGCTATTAAATATTTTGATAATAGTCCACTCTATGTAAACTAGTTTAAAAAAAGGCTCGGAATTAACTAGCTGAGTCCAGTTCTCATCTTTTACTGAAATACATCAAATCTGTTGCTAACTAATTTAGATTTAACCTGTTACTCACTACTTTATATCTAACCTGTTACTCACTACTTTATATCTAACCTTTTGGTAATACTCTATATATAACCTCTTGATAACTACTCTATATCTAACCAGTTGGTAACTACTTTATATCTAACCTGTTGGTAACTACTCTATATATAACCTGTTTGTAACTACTCTATATCTAACCTGTTGGTAACTACTCCATATCTAACCTGTTGGTAACTATTCTATATATAACCTGTTGGTAACTACTTTATATCTAACCTGTTGGTAACTACTCTATATCTAACCTGTTGGTAACTACTCGATCTCGTGGTATCTCCCATTCATCCAGCATTAGAGGTGACATCGGAGTAAGAAGTCCTAATGCGCGCATTCTTTCCTCTGCCGCGTGCATTTTCCGCTCATATCTAGTAAACAATGTAAAATAGAGACTACATTTTTGAACTAGCATTTTTTACCTAGCATTTTTGACCTAGTATTTTTGACCTAGAACTTTTGCCCTAGCATTTTTGGCACTATCACCTTGACATTTTTTGACATTTAAGAAAGGATAGCTCAATTTTTTTTAATACAAATTTTTATCCCAAAAAAATAATGCAATAAATGCAATTGGTAGGATGAAGAGATGATGGAATAGGACGAGAATGAAGCATACCTCTGCTTGATTGCAATGAATGCAGTTGTTAGGAAAGCTAGGATGAATAGGATGAATGGATGAATGGATGAATGGATGAATAGGATGAAAATAAAGCATACCTCTGCTTGAATGCAATGAATGCACTTGATAGGATGAACAGGATGAATAGAATTAATAGGATTAATAGGATGAATGGGATGAATAGGATGAAAAGGATGAATAGGATAAATAGGATGAGAATGAAGCATACCTCTGATTGAATGCTATTATTGCAGTTGCTAGGATGAACAGGATAAAAATAAAGCATACCTCTGCTTGAATGCAATGAATGCAGTTGCTAAGATGAATAGGATGAGAATAAAGCATACCTCTGCTTGAATGCAATGAATGCAGTTGCTAGGATGAATAGGATGAGAATAAAGCAGAGGATAAATGCAACTGTGATTGCAAGAGTACACTCTATCCCTAAACTTGTCGCAAACCCGGAAAGTATTCCACAATCCTGCAAAGAAACAGATTTATTTTATCTATATATTCGGTATAGCTGGCAACACGGCTCAACCAAATGGGCTAGGTTTTTTATTTGAAAGAATCCAGTGGATATAGGCTAAAAAACTTTTTAAACCCTGGGCACCGCCAAATTAAGAATGTATGTTAGCTATTTAAGATAGTGGGCAAACTGTATCACATAGACTTAGAGACATGCAACCAGGGGTCCATATAATTCCTTTTTCAATCCCGTTTGGGATTGACAAATTTGAAAGAAATGGGGGCAAATTTTTTAAATGGGGGCAATTTTTNCCTGCCTTCATTTTTGGTTCAAATCTTCCAATTTTTTGGGTGCACTTTTTGTAATTGGGGGCATTTTTTATAATTGGGGGCAAATGGGGGCAAATTTGTAAGTGGAATTTAAAAATGTTTTTTAAATTGGGGGCATTTTTTTTAAAGATGGGGGCAAAAATAATTATTTTGGGATCGAGAAAATTAGCTATTTTGGGAATTATATGGACCCCTAGGGGCAAGTAACACATATAAAAAGGTGTTGCATTTCCCCCTAGGACCTAGGTGGTATACCCCTAGGTGGTATATCCCTAAAGGGTATATCCCTAGGTGGTATACCCCTCAGTTAAACCGTTTCAACTCATGAAGACATTTTGACCAAGTGCTGAACGATTTAAAAACACTGAGCACTCTAGCTTGTTATTTACATTTGGAGTGTTTTGTTTATTAACCTTTCAGAACTATAAAGGTGTTTCTTTTTTACGCTAAAAAATATGTTTGGAGCTTCATTATTTTTAACAAACAAATCCACTCCAACAAACCAAACATCCTCAGGTTATATAAACACAAGAAATAATATTATCTTAGAATCAAAATACTGAAGAAAAAAAACAAATAAGATAAAAATCCAGGGGATAGAATTTTATTAATCGAAATCTTTTTCTTAAAAAATATTTTTTTTAAATTTCATGACCTTAGCATCATCCTCTGGTCTTGAACCGTCATGAGTCTGCCATCTGAAATAAAGATAAATTCAATAATTTTCATTGATTTCCATTGATTGTAAATCACAAATTTTAAATATATTGTGAAATGATTTAATTCCTAGTCAAATTTGTCTAAAACATTGTTTTTAAACTGATTGAATTTCATCTCTTTTACAAAATATAATATAAATTAGATTGTGATATGTAATGAAATTAAGTGAACAATTTAAGGGAGTGCTCTGCAGAAAATCAATTTCTAATTTTACTTTAATCTGTTGCGTTTTGCGTAAAAAACGACTCATACCGAATAACGTAGCGTCCATACAAATTCACAGAGTTGCATTATACAACTCAGATCGTACACAATTGAAAATTAATCATTTAGATATTACAACATATAAATATCGAATTCAATTCGATGCATTCGGGTATAGTTGATTTTTCATAATTTTTATTTTTTCTTGTATACAATTTACTTTAAACGACAATTTTTTGGCCGCTAGTTGTCTCTCGCCAGCGATATCCCTGAAACATCGGAAGCAGAGAGCAAAACTTGAACCAAAACGTAGATTTGAACCCAATTTTCAAGTCCTAGTCGTAGTTCATGTTATAGTTAAAGCAATTGTTGCTTGGCATATCCCCCCCCCCCTGTATTGGTTCGACAAAAAAAACAGAAAATGCGTTATATTTGCGTATATTTTCTGATGCGATATCTTTAATTAGCAAAGTCTTTGGGTTCGACATAAAACCATTAGATTGAATGTAAATTAACTGCTAAACCAGTTTTTACCCACCGAAAATAAGTTTATTGAGTGAAGGGGTGAAGAGCAACCACGAGGCCTGGCAACTGACCTTAGCAGCGATGTCCCCCCCTGATTCTCAGAATGCCCTCCTAGCCAATCAAAATTATCTCCGTGCCTCACGCTACATCTCCTAGCCTTCGCAGTCCGGTCTCCACGTCCAGCATTCTTATCTCCAATAACAAAATTTTACTTTTACATCCATCAAAACCTTTTTTAGGAACAATCTCAACATGATAAAAAATTTTGTTTTGATGATACGTTTAAAATTTGTATTAAAAAGTCTAGTTTAATTGTGATTAAAACTTGCAGCAAAACTATTGCAGCTCTTACGCGAGCTACGCTGCGTTCATAAAGTCTATGTGATACCCCTGTGATTCTCTGAGTTCCCCCTGAGGGTCTGTACAGAACGTATTGTGAAGAACTAGTTTGAGAAGCTGTTTACCGTCCGACTACGCATGCGCAAGTTCCCTGCGTAGGAGCGAGCAGTTTCTACTTCAGTATACAGTTGTATTTCATGTAATGTTCGTCTATTATTAAACCGTGTGAATATTCTAGGACCACTGCGGTAATTATGATTATATTTATACGAATATTGTTTATTTATGTTCGGTTATGGTTGATATTGTATAATGTAATGTATGGGTTCCTTGCCACAGTTTTTTAATGCCTGAGTGGATTTATTGCTGTATTTGTATGATTTATCACTCAATGCTTTTTCTGTTGGCTTATAAAAGATTATTTAGATTGAAGGCTTAGAGAAATAAACGTTCGGAACCTTATTATCATCCTTGTGTTATGGAGAGCGTTGAGAGAAGGAAGCCTTACAATCCTATCCAGAGAAATACCACTCGGTACTTATAGATTTCATTAGGTCTTTAGGGAATTCGCTAAGTAGCGAAACAGCAGCTTTATATAAAGATACCATTTTACAGGTATCATGTACGAATCTAGTTGTATAAGCACCTATTCACAAAATACATTAAAAGCACACATTTAAGTTTTTTTTTGTGAATTGGTGCTTTTATAATTAGATTCGCAAATGAAACACTTGTGAAATGATCTAAAATATGTCTATCTTTATATGAAGCCACAATAGGTTATGCACAAGTTAATTTAAGAATTTGTGAAAGGAGTTGAGTTTTTGTCACAAAGTCTGATTTTCTAATCTCTATATCTTTGAAACCCAATGTCTTAGACCTTAGATATTTCAAACTATGAATACTTATAGATAAAATAATCTAAGTTTGAAATATCAAAGGTTTGCACCAAAAGATTTCAAAGATATTGGAATCAGAAGATTTTAGTTTGAGGCAAAAACTCAATTCCTTTAGAAAAACAAAAAAAGAATTCTTAATCACAACTAAAGTTGATTTTTCAATGTAATTGTTTATGTATTATTAAAAACTTTTTTTATCATATCGAGATTTTTCGAAAAAAGGTGGATAAAGCCAAATATTTTTTTTCGGAGATAAGAATGCTGGGTGTAGAGACAGGACTGTGAAGGCTGGGAGACGTAGCGTAAGGCACGGAGATGATTTTGATTGGCTAGGAGGTCATTCTTAGAATCAGAAGGCTCCGGAGGTCAGGTCGCAGGGCTCATGGTTGCTCTGCACCTCCTTCCTCGTTCATTGTATAATACACACTATGTGTATAGTCGAATTCTAATTTGTACTGTGTATGAAATGTGCACTCCCTTGCTTGGTATGAAATAAAGCAAGTATTGATAATCAGTAGTGAATTGATGGGTTTTCAATAATTCCTATTACTCCATCAGTCCTAGGCTTAGAGTTAAATATTAGTAGAAAACACCTGAATATTTGTTAAAAAGGGTTTATATAGGTACTTTAGCGTAATTTCAAGAGACCCTCCATATAAAGATGGAAACTCAAGTATGGATTTGAACTTCTTAATTTTTGTCTTTGAAAACTGTTAATTTTTATTGGTGGGTTTTCTGGGAAAAATGACTTCGCATTTCCTGTTTTTAAGAAAGATTGGAGAAATTATTAGAAAAAAACAGTTTTTAAGAGTCAGAAATAAGACGTTATCTTTCACAGTTCTGATCAGATTAAGGTTTCATCATTGTAAATCGGACATTGTTATTTTTGCATGGCGGGTCATTTACAGTCCCTTAGGAAACTTAATTCTATTCAGAACCATCTATGTAAACCATGAATAATCAATTGAGAACCATCTATGTAAACCATGAATAATCAATTGAGAACCATTTATGTAAACCATGAATAATCAATTGAGAACCATCTATGTAAACCATGAATAATCAATTGAGAACCATCTATGTAAACCATGAATAATCAATTGAGAACCATCTATGTAAACCATGAATAATCTATTAAAAGTAGAAAGCTAGCTAAAATATCTAACTTTTTCTGTAAAGTCTAAAATAAAAACAAACATTAAGAGCATTATCATAATCACTGGAAACAATTACTTTTTTTTGGCGTGTCAAGTTCTTAATAAAACATTAATTAGTTTTATACTGTTTTACCTAAATCTCAATAATTGTAAAAATAAATAAAAATTTATGCGATGAACAGTTTAAAAGATCTCCAAATAATTATTCAATTAAAAGTTCAATATCTGCAGCATTCCATTATCAAAAAGCTGAGCAGAGTTGTCTGATCGACGTGACAAATAAAACAGAGACCACTTTTATTCCACTTTATTCTGAATAATTCCTGTATTCCTGCTTACTTGATAACTGATGCATCCCAGAAAATCAGTTTCCCTCTGCTGATGTTTGAAGGTTTATAGTTAGGTTCATATTCTCCAATCTTATGACTGTATACAGTAGAATTCTGTTTAGTCAATTCATTCATCACCTACAGATAGAAATATAAATTTTTAACATTTTTTCGTAAAATAAAAAAATTATTCTTGAATTTTGAATTTAAAACATTATTTATCGTATTCCTAGAGTTTTCCTTTTAACTTTAAATATCTTTCCACATCCACGTACCTGTGTGCTAACCTTTACTTAATACTACTGTACACTGTACAGCGTACTCACCTGTACTGAATACCACTGTACAAAGTACTCATCTGTACTAGATACCACTGTACAATGTACTCATCTATACTGGATATCATTTTACAGTGTACTGACCTGTACTGGATTGCATACCATTATGCACTATATTCACCTGTACTGGATACCACTGTACATTGTATTCACTTGTATTTGATACCACTGTACAGTGTACTCACCTATACTGGATACTACTGCACAGTGTACTCTCATGTTCATGATAACACTGTACGGTGTACTCACCTGTACTGGATACCACTGTATAGTGTACAGTGTTCTCACCTGTACTGGATACCACTGTACAGTGTACAGTGTACTCACCTATACTGGATACCACTGTACAGTGTACTCACCTGTACTGGATACCACTGCATTATCCGAATATTAGAAAGTCTGGATTGACGTCCAAAAAAATTTATTCTTCCGCTTACACCTTAAAGAGAAAAAAGCATACGTACAAATCTTTTTTTGTCAATTCGGAAAGAATTTTAAAAATTTCTTAAAAATATACTTTATAGCAAACAAACATCAGTTATTACCAGTAGTTGGAAACATTTTATTTTAAAGTTTGGGGGTCATTTTATTTTTTGAAAATACCTTTAAAATCCACTTTGTTAATGATATCAACAAACTGGTTTACAGATCGTTCAGAGTGCAGATTCTGCACGTAGGATCTATTCTCTCTGAAAACAGATATTATTGATTTTTATTTGTACAATTTACGAAAAAATATTCCATCATTTGATAAGTTCGAAAATTTGAAGACCAAAATTGAGATTACAATAACAATTTTTGAACGTAGTTTAGCTTTTAAAAAATTAATGAATAATTGGCCGAAGCCATGTGAAAACTCCCCATGGAGAGAGGGGAAGGGGCGAGATCTTTAAACTTACGGAGCTTCTTAACCCTATTCCCGCTGGAGGGGGGGGGTCAATTTGATCCCCCCCCTGTAGTTTTTTTTACATAACTCAAAAAGTATTGGTCTGAGGCTGTTGTGACTTTTCTTACATACCCAAAGCCCTCCCTTTAGGCCTAAAACCGGGCTTTAATACTAACTGCCTGAGTCCTCAGGCACACTGCCTGAATGACTGCTTTTGATTTTTATCTAGAATAACTTCTCACACCAAAATTGTCTTCAGAAAAATGACGTTTAATAATGGCTCTTGCAAGAATTACTCTAGAAAAAATGACCGAGCAAGTTGTTAAAGGGAGTGTTCGCGAAAAATGAAAGGGGGTATAGGCTTAATGCGATAAAAAAAGCGCCTTTGATCGCCACTAATCTTACTTCTATTTGTTGCGTCTATAAGGAGAAACTTGTTAAAGACGTCTCATACCGAATACTTACCGTCCATACAAATTCAGAAAATTGCAATATACGACTTAGACCGTAAAAAAATCAATTTAATTTCAAACAAATCATTCAGATATTACAACCTATAGTCATCGATTATCTTTCGCCACATTTGTATATAGTTTATATTTTATAATATTTTTTAATTAATTTGTTTTGAATTAGATTATTTCTCTTGCGGCTTGCTAAGAATGCCGTGGACCACTCGAATTTTTTGAAATCAGTTAAAACGTTTTCTAAAAAAAATAAAATATTACTTGATAAGGTTATCTAGTGCTATAGCGTACAACCAGACGGCATCGTAAACATATCCACTGTACTTATTCAATTCATTATCTTCATTTGTCAAGTTCAATCCAAACTTCTCAAGAGCCAACCTAAAAAAGTTATTGTAAAGTAAGGCAGTTTGCAAGGAAACTTTATAAAAAAAAGATTGTTAATAAAAGGTTTACAGAATTAACGTTAAGAATTTGACTCAAACTATTATAGGTATACACCATCAGGTTGCAAAGATATGTGGATAATAAAATTTGAGTTTGTGGCAAAAATTAATTCCTCTGCTCAATTTGAACTATTAGGACGCACATAAGAAAATAATTGGGGGAAATAGAAACGAAACTAATCTTTTTCAGAGTAGAACCTTGGAAAAGAAATTCATTTGAACTACAATCTATAATTCATGAGAAAACAAAATTTGCAATTCTTAATCTGGATTTAGATTTTTATCCCCCCCCCCATAAACATCTATATCCAGATTTAAAAATTGCAAATTTTGTTTTCTTGTTTAAATTTAAGAATAAGTAGAAAAATTGAAAAGCTTGGATGGAAACAAAAAGATTTAAAGTTCAAAAACAGGAAAATTCCTGTCAAAAATATTTAGATGAAATTAAAGCTTGAGATTAAAATTAGTATTTGTTAATCTTACATTTGAGATCTGTTAGGAGGGATACGTCGATGAAAAGTTTTGTTCAGATATTCCATCATTTCTGTTTTCCAGGCACCAACAGTTCTAGTAGAATACAGGATATAATTTATATATTAAAAGTATTCCAGGCACCAACAGTTCTAGTAGAATACAGGATATAATTTATATATTAAAGGTATTCGAGGCACCAGCAGTTCTAGTAGAATACAGGATATAATTTATCAATTAAAGGTATTCCAGGCACCAACAGTTCTAGTAGAATACAGGATATAATTTAATATTAAAGGTATTCCAGGCACCAACAGTTCTAGTAGAATACAGGATATAATTTAATATTAAAGGTATTCCAGGCACCAACAGTTCTAGTAGAATACAGGATATAATTTAATATTAAAGGTATTCCAGGCACCAACAGTTCTAGTAGAATACAGGATATAATTTAATATTAAAGGTATTCCAGGCACCAACAGTTCTAGTAGAATACAGGATATAATTTATATATCAAAGGTATTCCAGGCACCAACAGTTCTAGTAGAATATAGGATATATTATTCATCTATAAAAGGTATTCCAGGCACCAAAAAATCTACTTAAATAAAGGGTATAATTTATCTATTAAAGGTACTCGAGGCACCAAAAGTTCTAGTAGAATACAGGATATAATTTAACTATTAAAGGTATTCCAGGCACCAACAGTTCTAGTAGAAAAATGATATAATTTATCTATTAAAAGGTATTCCGGGCACCAACAAACTCTAGAAAATAGGTCTGGGCATTTCTAAATTATTTTTGTTGTTTATCAAGAATTCCAAAATATCTTATATCTAAAAAATAGTTTTAGAGTTAAAGGCTTTCAGAGAGTTAAAGGGTGAAAAAAATCTGTCTAATGAATTTAATAGTAAAGAAACGGAACCAAAGATAGAATAAATTTCACCTATTTGTCTGCATAATACTGTTCTTCTCTGCAAAATTTGAATGCTCCAGAGAAAAATGTCCATTGAGGGCGGATATCATTTCTGAATCATTCATAACATTCAACTTGGAGGCACGGTTTGTTTTGGTATGGTATGGTATGGTATGGTATGGTATGGTATGGTATGGTATGGTATGGTATGGTATGGTATGGTATGGTATGGTATGGTATGGTATGGTAT